AAGTCATGACATTTTTCATGTTCAGCTTGACCATGGACAGGTTGATGTAGGAGAAGCGTTTTCCAATCCACGGGTTGTTCCACAAGCCAACAAAATGGGACTGAGAGGGGGGAAATCGTATGATCTGGGTACGGGATGGAATTTTCTCAGAAGTGATCATAGGAAGAAATGTCGTGAGGAAATCAAAAAACAGAAACCCAGGGTTCTTGTCATATCTCCCCCTTGTGGTCCTTTCTCTCAAATGCTTCGTATCAGCAAATACAGATGTGACCAGAGAGAGAGAGAGAGGAAGAGAATCGAGGGTGTTGTGCTGTTGGAATTTGCGATGGAACTGGCGATTCTGCAACATAGCGAGGGACGCATTTTCCTGTTTGAACATCCAAGTGGGGCCGACAGCTGGAATGAAGAATCGGTTGTCAAGGTGAAAAACATGTCCGATGTTCATGAAATCAGGGCTGATCAATGCATGTTTGGATTGAAGGACCCCCAAAACAAAAGGTTTTATAAAAAGGGCACCAGATTCTTGACCAATTCCAAGTTTGGGTACCTGTTGCAACGAAAATGTGATGGGAACCACAATCACCAAGCCATCGAGGGTCAGTGCAAGTGTGGGGGTGTTTGGGTGAACCGGTCAGTGTGTGCTCAGGTTTATCCCAAAGGACTTGTTGAGAAGATTGTTAGCTTGGCTAGGAAAGAAGTTCAAAATCAAGTCATGGAAGTTTTTTCGGGAGATCTGAGACCCCAAAGTCAAGAGGAGAGGGCTGCGAACATGAGAGTCAAACTTCGTAGGGCTCATGTGAATCTTGGACATCCCAGTCGTGAGCGGTTCATTCATTTGTTGAAGAGTGCTAATGCTAGTGAAGAAGCTATCAAGTTTGCCAAAGAACTTCCGTGTGCGACATGTAGCTCACGAAGACTGACTGGTCACAGACCAGTTACTAGTACCAGAAGGACTGAAGGATTCAACCAACAGTTGAGCATGGACACGTTTGAAATTCCCTACAATGGTAAGAAACTGAAGATGCTGAATGTCTATTGTGAGGGTACTGGCTTTCAGATTTGTAGTCCGCTTTGGAATGGTGCCAGCACGAAGGAAGTCCGGAGAGCATATCGTCAGTCTTGGCTCAAGTGGGCAGGTGCACCAGTTCGAGTTTTGACAGATGGCGGAACTGAGTTTGATGGTGAGATGCAAGAAGGGTTTGACCATGACAACACGTTTGTTGACAAGACTGCTGCTTACTCTCCTCACCAAAATGGCCGATGCGAAAGACACGGTGGAATCTGGAAACAAATTTTTCTGAAAGGGTTTGATGAGACCCAGCCAAGAACAAAAGAGGAACTGGAAGAACTGGCGGATCATGTCAATGCCGCCAAGAATATGATGACGAGAAAGCATGGATTCAGTCCTATGCAACATGTATTTGGTTGTGACATTCGACTGCCTGGGATATCACATGCAAATAGCACATATCTTCAAGGAATGGCGGAATACCACCCAAATGATGCATGCCTCAGATCGACTGAGATCCGACTGGCAGCCAGACGGGCAATGGTTGAGATGGACAATGTTGATAAAGTGAAGAGGGCAACTGAACATAGCTCGAGGCCTCAACCTGAATTTGACATTGGTGACTATGTGTATTACTGGCGTGTGTCAAAGGAGAGTGAGAAGTATGGTATTTGGAAAGGACCCGCTCGGGTCATTGGCAAGATTGACAGCTCGAAACTGTGGATTGCTCATGGCAACAAAGTGTTGAGATGCTCCCCTCTACAACTTCAAGCTGTGTCAGAAGAACATGAAGCTGCTCTTCGATTTGTTCCTCCAGAAGCTCTGAAATCAGCTGGGAGAGGAGCCAACAGAGGAGCCAGAACGTTCATCGACATCACCAAAGAAGGGTCGCCTCCTTTGCCTCATAATCCACAGAGCCAGCCGAGACAAGTGGCAGGCAACATGGAGGTTGATGAGGAAGAGAGAGCGGATGAAGGAGTGGCAAATGATGAAGATCACAGCGAGGTGAATGAAGAGTCAACTAAAGATGAGAGCCAGAGCCAGTCACTGGATCTGGAACAAGCTCTAGACATGGAAGTTGAAGGAGCGGCAGAAGGAGCGACTGGCGCAGCGGTGCGCAACCCTGGTAGTGCATCGGATGCGGTGGACAGGTCGTATGGCCCAGTCCGAACTGAACCTCACCGAGAACGATATGAACCAACTGAATTGACGCAGGCACTTCGCCGATCTACAGAGATCCTGGATCAAGGAAATATTCGAAATACAAGATCTCCAGTGCAAAACGAGATTTCAGTCCTAAATGAGACTAACGAGGTCTATGAGGTGGCTCCCTGGACCACAACTGATGAGATGAAGAGACATGAAAAGATACTGGCGGAACACCTGGAATGCTTCATGACGCAGGACAAGAAGCATGCTGAGCTGAAAGATAAAGACTTGCAGAGTACAGCAGATCAGGAGAGAGTGCGCGTGGGAAAAATGAGCGAATGGGACAAACTCTTGAAAGCAGATGCAATCAAGGTTCATACTGGACAAGAAGCGCAAAGAATTTTGGAGCAGACGGATCGGAAAAGAATCATTGAGTCGCGTTTTGTCAAAACAAAAAAAGTTCATGAGTCTGGCAGTGACTATGACATCAAATGTCGCTGGGTTATAAAAGGTTTTCAAGATCCTGACCTGGATGTGCTTGAGAGACAAAGCCCAACACTGTCAGCCGACGGTCTGGCCGTGGTGCTTCAACTGCTTGCTTCAAAACACTGGTTACTGGAAATTGCGGACGTGGAAGGTGCATTTCTTCAAGGGGACATGTTCCAAAGAAAGAATGGTCCTTTGTTCATTCGGCTGCCCAAAGATGGTGTGCCAGGGGTTCCAGAGGGTTCGCTTGTGGAACTAAAGAAATGCGTGTATGGGTTGAATGATGCGCCTTTGAGGTGGTGGCATTCCATGTGCAAAACGTTGAAACAATGTGGCATGCGACAAAGTGAACTGGATCCGTGTGTGTTTTGGTATCATCACCTAGGTAATCTTTCTGGGACTATTGCCTTGCATGTTGACGACATGATCTTGGGAGGCGACAGGTTTTTTCAGGAACATGTTTTGAAAAGACTGAGAGAGACGTACCCCTTCAAACATTGGGTTCAAAAGAAAGGCGAGTTTTTAGGTCGCAGGTTGGCTCAGAAAGAGGATTTTTCCATCGAAGTTGATCAACAACATTACTCCAATTCTGTTCAAACCATCTTTATTTCCAAGGATCGTCGAAAAGAAAAAGAGTCACGGGTGACTGATGCGGAACTCAAAGCGTTTAGGGGTGTTCTTGGGACTGCCAATTGGATTGTTGGCAGCACACGTCCTGACATTGCAGTTTTGACAGCGCAACTTCAACAGAGAGTGAGTAGGGCCACTGTTTCTGATTTGATTGATGCTAATAAACTTGTGAGTAAAATCAGGGATTTTAGTCATGTGAAGATCGTTTATAAAAGTATTCCTCTTGAACATGCGGTTCTTGTGTCTACCTCTGATGCCAGTTGGAGTAACACTGAAACGTTAGGTAGTCAAGCCGGTTATTTCTTGTTGCTTGCTGATAAAAGAATCAAAGAAAACATGTGGGCGGATGTGACACCATTGCGATGGAAGTCATACAAGCTTGAGAGAAAAACACAATCCACCCTGGGGGCAGAACTCATGAGCGCAGCCAGAACACTGGCTGAAGGAAATTGGCTGAGAAGCGTTTTTGCTGAAGCGTTGTATCCTGACTATACCCTTGAAAGAGACCGTGTGTTTCGGGATAGGATGGATTTGGTTTTGGTTGTGGATAACAAACCTCTTTACGATCATACGAAGGGAACTGGGGTTGTGGTCAAAGACAAAAGGGTTGCAATTGACATGTTGCTGGTCCGACGCGACCTTTATGCCTCAAACTCAGAGATTCGATGGGTAGACACACGACAAATGTTGAGCGATGCATTAACAAAGTGCAACGCTTGTTCTGACTTCATGCTTTTTGTGCTGCGATTTGGAAAATTTATTCTGATCCGCGAAGAAGAATCCCTGGAGTGGCGTGTGAAAGAACGTGAATTGAAGAGAAGTACTGATTCGAAGAATCGTGGCAAATTAAAAGAGAGACATCAACATGTTGAGTCGGGGGTATGTGAATAGCACTATCCCATGTTGATGTCGTTCACATCTGATTGTGAGGTGCTGAGCGTGTGGGGCTTAAGCTTCGTAGAAAAAGGTCGATCTCTGCACCACTGTGACTCCATTGAGGGTCACACATGTGAATTTTCAGATGGATTTTCCCATCCTTCAATCAGAGATTGGTTCAGAATTGGAAGAACCGTTGTGCTGGTGAATCCCTTTACTAAAAGCAGTATAGAAAGAGGTGGAAACAGAATATGGTGGATGGTAAAAACCCATAAAACTGGTAACCAAAAGCTACAGGTAACCATGGCTCGGAAACCATTTTGACTTAGACACAAAAATGACTGACATAACTGACATAACTGACATAAACAATGCCAGTACACACATCCTGGAAGTTTGGAAGGGCATGGTCATTTCATAAATGTGGAGTGGAGAGTTTCGTACCAAACTTGATCACTTCATCTGCTGGTTTTTCAAATTCATCCATTTATTGTTGCTAGTTGTGGATTCTCCCCCCCATTCTGTTGAAAAAGTCTTGATTTCTTCACCATCTCCATGGTTAAATCCATGGTTTTTGCTGGTTTAACTACCATTTTTTTTTTGTTGGTTTAATAAGTGAAATCCCAATGCTTGTTGCTTGCATCCGTTGCATCCTCAGTTTTGCTTCGTTGAATTCCTCCTTTTTGCTGATCAAATCCTTCATTTTTGGTCAATGCTTTCACCGCATGTGTTGGCTTAACCCCCATTTCTGCTATTTTTCCCTGTTTCTAAAGTCATGTTGAGTCCCTATTTCTGGCTGCTAACATCGCGAAAAACCATGTCGCCAAACTCCACGATTTTTTCGCCCGTCCTCGGTCCCAGAGGTCCAAGACACTGCGCTTTGGCTGCCTGGATCCATTGGGAAAATCTCCCGCGGTGCGGTTCCAGATTTTTTCGATAACCATGGTTAAAGGGGTCATATATCCCAACTTCTCGGGCTCTAGAACAGTGAAAAATCCATTCGTAACCGCAACTGCCTGCACCCCCAAGTATATAGCCAAAAAGTTGAAATCTATTATGGGGATACTAAGGGATATACTGAGGAAATAGCGTGGATATGATGAAATGTCATGGGAAAAGAAAAAACCATTCGGAAATACCCAAAATAATTGTGGTTAATCCCTTTGAATTGGAGTTTTGATGGTTGAGAAAAACATTGGTTTTTGGTGGGTCTTTCCGGGATTCCGGGATTCCCCTGAACTCATCATCAACCAACAAGGGTTTAGCACAGCTCGTTGCAACCCCCCAATACCCAACAGTCACTGAAATTCAATGGATCACTGGATCTCGTTTTTTCAATATATTGGGATTTCACTATTTCAATCAAACTTTGGGCCATTGAAAAAAAAATGGCAATTGGTTTTGTTGGGCCGATACCTACAATGAACATGGCCCCATTTTGATGATCGCAGCACACCTGCGCAGCCTCTTCGATTCGTTGAGCCGCCTGAAGTGTTTCATTTCGGCTTCACTTTCATAGTTGGATATCCTTAGGAGTTATATCCATATACGCTATAAAGTTGATCAACTAGGGTAGATTGCACCATTCGGTAGCGATTTGACCTTAAGGATCAGTCCCCAAACACATGAAAATCACTCAGGATGGTTCTCCCTTTGAAACTGGCTCCCAAGAAGATGGTTGAAAGTAATTTCCTACTAATGTATGGAATGGCGATTTACTACAATGATTTCCAACCTACACGGCCCACTCATCTTGTATGCCAATTGGATATGTATAGATAATGTATGCATATATATATATACACATATATACATATATATATACTGTGTATATACATATATATATATATACTGTGTATATATACATATATATATATACTGTGTATATATATATAGTATATGTATGTATATATATAGGGAGAGAGAGAGAGAGCGCGCGATGTGGTGGTTACATATCCCGATTATATCCCCAGTATATCCTCATGATGTCTATGATCTCCTACCCCCATGCAAGCAGTGTTCAAAACCCTCTGTCCTCCCTTTGTACTGGTTGGTTGATAGGCATTCCCCTGATGGATTTCACGTGAAATCCCCAATTAATATTGGTTAGTTCAACCCCATATGATCATCAATCAACCATAATTTATCCATGATTGAGATATCAAATATGATTATATAACCATATGAATGTTTAACCCCATATGATATCAATCATCAATATATTGATTAATCAATAACCATAACCAGATCATCAATCATAATTATATCCCCATATTCCTGGAGTTGATCCCAAAAAATTGGAAAAAAAAACTCCAAAACCAAAAAAAAATGGCACCCCGGAGGGGGAATCAAACATGGCTGCAAAATCACCCAGCCATCCACAAAAACCGTGGTTTTCCAAGTGCTACGTCTGATTACCGCAAGATTTTCCATGGGAAAATCATTGAATCAGCATGAAAAATCACCATTTGCTGTTGGTGAAATACCATTGAATCAGCATAACTCTAAGCTGGTAAATCCCGGTTCAATGACCTCCATCTGTTGGGAAAATCGGTGAAAAAACCCACCTCCTGCGCCAGTGCCAGGGCTTCAGCACGGGAGGAAAATTCCACCGCCGACCTCCGGAAATCAAAGGTGCCTTGCTGAAAAATCCCCCATTAAATGCCATGTGCTTCGATGATTTTCCCAGCGAACTAAGCCTCCATTTATAGGGGATTCTCCATTGCCACGCTTAATTACCAGAGGGTATAAGGCATGTAACATAGGAAATCTTGGTGGAATTGAGGATCTAGGTTTGACGTGAGCCAACAAAAACAGAACAACAAGTCACGGCAACTGGAGTGTAAGAAAAAAACGAACAAAACCAAGAACAAGAAATTCTGTGGTTCTGTGCTTGCGTCTGACCTTTGACACCAATGCCAACCTCAAAATCCTATCACCAAAATTTCAAGCATCCATCGCATCCATCGCATCACATCTCAGTGTTTTAAATTTGTTTATTTTCCAGTGATCCAACTGGGCCAAGCTCGCTCATTAGGATAAATCACTTCTAACTTCTAGCTGATTCTCCATAGAAGCCAAATTTACCATAGAGTCGCCCTCGTAGTCCTCATCTCCAACTGGCTGAACCAAGGAAACTATCATCCCCCCACCCAACGAACAAATCGACCCTGCCATGAGTTGAGGGGTTGGAAGACAATTCGTTCCTATTAAAATGGGTGACGTTCGTTGGGGGGATGAGAAATGTGTCATAATTGAAAATGGTCTAGAGTCTGTGGGTGTCAATTCAGGAATCAATCTGGCTTTGTCTGAAAATGTTGGGAAACGATGCAAAACCACATTCCATGGATTCCACCACCATTAAATGGATTGGTTTAAGGGAAAATTTTACAGGAAAACCCCATATCTTATGGGAAAATCGGTTTCCAGCTTCCGGTGTTCAGATTTTCCCGACTATTGCCAATCCATTCAACCATTCATTGGATTGGTTTAAGGGAACATTTACAGGAAAGCCCCATGATCTTCATGGTAAAAACCATGGTTTCCTGTAGATTTTCCCTTAAACCAATCCATTCAGACCATGGTTGATCATCATTTCCCTATTGAAATTGCGCCCCCAGACTGTTCCGGTGCACTTGGCGTCGGCGGCAATTGGGCACCTTGATTTCATGGTGGAGCGAAGGCCCGGCCCCACACACAGGGGACATCGTCATCAAAAAGCTTGGATGCCATATAAATACATTATGTGTGTATGTATACATGTATATATATATATGTGTGTGTAGATATATATATATATATGAGTACATGTATATGTCTATGTCTATGATTCTCTATGTATGTGTGTATAGTTTTTGACGACTAGGCATGCAGCCCAACAATGACACCGGGAATATTCAGATTGATGCCAAAAAGATGCAAAGTGTCCAACTCGAAATGCTGTGTTCAATTCACCTGTAAGCGGGATCAACGGCATCCCGCAGCCCCACCTATACAGAGGGCATCCAGGTGCCTTCGGTAGTACTCAGCAAAACGAGTTTCGTACCTGTCGCGCGGACGCGAGGTACGAAACGGACTCACCTGGTATCTCAACCAAAATATGCAGACGATTTGCAACTTCCCAAAGGTCTTCCATATTCAAATCGTTGGATATCACTGCTAGATCTTTGAAATGGATATGGGTCAGAAATAGTCAGAATTCAGATCCGAAAATGTAGAACTACTGGACAGCAGAAATTTAGAGCCATCTGCATCTGTGTGCATCCTCCCCATCAGAGAAACCATGGGTGATCCGAGTCTTGTCCAGCGCGCCTTCCGGTCGCCGATAGAGCCTTAACAGCTGGATACCTTGCTTCCATTGGCAGTGGTGAAATCCCAGCATGGTGGATTGCACCAACCAAAATGAGGATTTGATTTAAGTGATTTAAGCCAGATTCGGATGGTGGATTCATGCTGGTAATTTATCACTTCCAGATCTTGGTAAACTCAGAGCAGACTAAGAGGTCTATAAAGGATGGATCAAATGGATGGCGTAACAAATGGACGTCAAACCAAGTAGAATCAGTATGGTTTTTTGAACTCATCATCTTTGGCTACAAATCAAGTTTTTTCAATTTGTTTGGGGATGTTTCCCCCATACTTGGTGCCAAATTGTAGCTGCTTCTCGATCTTTGCCCCATTTTTTGCTGGGTCAAAGTCCCCATGCCATCCACCAACCCGAGTTTTTTGCCACGGCGACTGATCGATGCAGGCGCAGAAGGCTGCATTGCCACCCACCTATTGGTTGATTCATAGGGGGATCTCACAAAATGGATGGTTTAGAATGGAAAATCCTATGAAAATGAATGACTTTAGGGTACCCCTATTTTGGAAAACCCCATATGTAATATCCCATAATCCCATTATTGGGCACAATCCCTATTTAAAAAAAAACACCTGGGATTACACAACCACTAGTTCAGAACCAGCAGTTGAGAATTTTCAGTCACGTATGGATGTAGAAGTGCTAGCTGGGGCCATCGGTTAACTAGCGGCTATTTTGATGTGAATTACAACCATTCTCAACTTACCCACATCTAGAAGCTGAACAAAACTTAAGGAGTTCGGTTGGAAAGTCGATATGCAAATCGTAGCTGAGCCTGTGAGGTCATAAGTCATAGTTTCGGCTGGGGAGTTCAGAACTGCGAAGCTGGGATGATTCTACCTTGAATTAGAAGTACGTTATCGTGTAGCTGTATGGTGCCTAGAAAAAACCACAAGAACCTTCCAAACCTTGGCAAAAACGCCCGATTTGTGGGGAAATTTCACCTGTCAGTGTTGGTGGTCAGATGTAAAGAAAAAACTGATGGAAATCCTGGCTGCGTCAGATAGCCTGGGATCCAACATCCAGCCTTCCAACCGAATGTGTTTTTCATGATGATATCATCTTGGGCCCTTTTTAGAGTCATTGGCCCAAATCTCACAGCAACCTGCCGATCTCCCCTTTTTTGAGGTCCTCCCCAGTTCCAGTGAGGCTCCCCGCGGCCATGTACTTTAATTCAGTCTCAGTCCAGCCGAATCCATCGTTCAGAGGCCTGTGACAGGATAAAAAAGGAAGGTGCTAATCCCCACAATTGAAAACGAAAAAATACCTAATTGGCATTAATGGGCCGTGTATACATAATGGTTGTATAAATATATATATATTGGAAAAATTGTACTTATATATATATATACATATGGGGATGGGTCAAAACCCTGGTACCTAGTGAACCCCAAAATAGCTGGTAAATGGATGTTCATCCCACTAAAAATGTATCTATAGGTATTGATCCATACCCATATAATGGTTCGATTACCTCCCAAATCATTTTCTCAAATGGCAAGGGTTTGTCCATCCGATTACCTCCTCAGTCGGGACCAACGATGATCTCAAGACCCAAAGACTTCGAGCTGGCCATGTTCAGCAGCTGTTATATGCAGGATGTGTATATTGATGATCTTGTATGCTGTATATCATATATATATATACACGAATACATATACTGTATATGTATATATTCATATGTATACCTATACATATATCTATATATAATATTATATATATATGTGAAAACTGCATCAGCTTCTGCTCCTCACCTCACCAGGCTTCGGGCAGACCCCATCCGCAGGTGCTCCTGGAAAGAAAAACCCGAAGCACTCTTCAGGATGCGGAAGATGAGTTTCGAGCTGGGAATATGGATTTTTGTTGAGGACGTTTGGAATATGTCTATATAGGTATATATATATATGTATTATGTCTATATGTATATGTGTATATATATATGCACATATATGCATATGTATATATATATATGCATATATGTATATATATATGCATATCGAAATCAACTGCAATGAGGTGATTTCCAATGAAATCAACAATTTTTAAATTCAGGAATGGGAATAAAGGTTGGATATGTGTCATATGAAAATCAGTTCAAGCATCCTGAGATGATCAACCAACCACTGGCCCCAAAACTGGTCCTCCGCACAGCGCGCACAGAGGTATGTACCGAAGGAAATGGAAGCCCTTGGTGGCTTGGTTGGTGAGCCCCACGGTCGAGCACGAAGGTTCAAGATGCCTAGGATCTTGATAGTAACCTTCAGTTTATTCATAGGGGGGAGTGCCAACTTTGCGAGTAATTAAAGAACTCTTTTGAGGCTAACTCCTCCAATACTAGTGGTCAAGGTTTATTGATCCCGGGTTGACATTAATGAACAAGACCTCTTATCAGTTCGGGGTATGAGAAGCTTTGAGAGATGGGATACCACATTTATCTTGACCCAAGTTGAATAAACCCATCCATGGGTTGTTTGATTGGGCCTCAATTTCATACTTTCTGGTCGCATTCCCCTGGAATTAATCAAATGGTTTATTAATTTAAGGTTGAAACCAGGAACCAGCTGTATGCCCACTAGAGTCACTAGAGCACATGTCTACAAGTGCTTACAGAACGTCACCCTGATCGGCCGAAGGAAAATAACTAACAGAGGACCAGAAAATGCCTGTTGAACAAAGGAACTTCCTGGATCCTATATAAATAATATAGCCATCTATAAATGGGGAAAATCATCTAAAAATAATCATCCATAAATAATCATCTATAAATAATCATCTAAAAATAATCATCTAAAAATAATCATCTATAAATAATCATCTATAAATAATCATCTATAAATAATCATCTATAAATAATCATCTATAAATAATCATCCAAAAATAATCATCTATAAATAATCATCTATAAATAATCATCCATAAATAATCATCCATAAATAATCATCCATAAATAATCATCCATAAATAATCATCTATAAATAATCATCTATAAATAATCATCCATAAATAATCATCTATAAATAATCATCTATAAATAATCATCTATAAATAATCATCTATAAATAATCATCTATAAATAATCATCTATAAATAATCATCTAAAAATAATCATCTATAAATAATCATCTATAAATAATCATCTATAAATAATCATCTATAAATAATCATCTATAAATAATCATCTAAAAATAATCATCTAAAAATAATCATCTATAAATAATCATCTATAAATAATCATCTATAAATAATCATCTAAAAATAATCATCTATAAATAATCATCTATAAATAATCATCTATAAATAATCATCTATAAATAATCATCTATAAATAATCATCTAAAAATAATCATCTATAAATAATCATCTATAAATAATCATCCATAAATAATCATCCATAAATAATCATCCATAAATAATCATCCATAAATAATCATCCATAAATAATCATCTATAAATAATCATCTATAAATAATCATCTATAAATAATCATCCATAAATAATCATCTATAAATAATCATCTATAAATAATCATCTATAAATAATCATCTATAAATAATCATCTATAAATAATCATCTATAAATAATCATCTAAAAATAATCATCTATAAATAATCATCTATAAATAATCATCCATAAATAATCATCCATAAATAATCATCCATAAATAATCATCCATAAATAATCATCTATAAATAATCATCTATAAATAATCATCCATAAATAATCATCTATAAATAATCATCTATAAATAATCATCTATAAATAATCATCTATAAATAATCATCTATAAATAATCATCTATAAATAATCATCTAAAAATAATCATCTATAAATAATCATCTATAAATAATCATCTATAAATAATCATCTATAAATAATCATCTATAAATAATCATCTATAAATAATCATCTAAAAATAATCATCTAAAAATAATCATCTAAAAATAATCATCTATAAATAATCATCTATAAATAATCATCTATAAATGCTGGATGTGCCAAGTCATGTTTGATGCCGCAGTTCATGGGCCCCATGGGCCCTGATTCAGGCCCCCATGGGCCCCTTGCCAGTCTGTGCCATCGCATCCACAATCAACACAGTGACGGTCCTGGGATCCCAACCACGGAAAAATGAGCCAAATCTCTGGCGGTTTTTTGGGTACCAACTGCATTATATAGGGGCATGATATAGGGGCATTATATAATAGCCAGTATATATGGGCTGCTGTTTTTTGGGCATTTAATATAATAGCCAGTTTTTTTTGGGGCAGAAAAATATCCAGATCCCAGCGCACACGAAAAATTCACGGCTGAAGATCTACAGGAAACCATGAATTTTACCATCAAATATAGGGTTTTCCGGTTAAAATTTTCCCATCATCCAATTCTATGCCAAATCTCTGGCAGTCCAGATCCCAACTGCTGTTTTTGTTGGGGAAAAAAGAACGATCGTCGCAACTACGGGTCTTTTTAAGTTCTGTGTGTCCTTCGATCTATCGAATTCTGCGATATTGTTTTTTGGAAAAAATGGACCCTAACTGCACATCTCCGTCCCATCCATACACCTATAATATATATATATATAGAGAGAGAGAGATAGATAGATAGATAGATAGATAGATATTATATATATATATTGTTTATATCTGAATATCTCAAATCAGTTTGGGGGACCATTGGCACCGCATGGCTCCAGCCAGGCCAGCCAGTCAAGACCAACCTGCTGAGAACGATCGCGAAAGGTGGCGAAAGCCTGCAACCATGAAGTTTGACAAATTGAGCAATGATGCCCATTCACATGTGTGATAGATATATATATATATATGTACATGTATGTAGGTATGTAGGTATGTATGTAATGCAATGTAATGCAATGCAATGCAATGCAATGCAATGCAATGTAATGTAATGTATGTATATGTATGAATACATGTACATGTATGTGTATATATACACAGTATTGTATACATGCATTATATGTATATATATATACATATATGTATGTGCCTTTACATACGCATATATCTACTCATCCAATGAATAAACGTGTGGCACACCAACATCAAAGTCCTTCACTAAGCCTCAGCATGTTCCATCCAATCCCACCCATCTTCGGGGCGCACAGCCGCTAGGTCCGGCGAAAGAGCATCAAACTCCACATCCGCCTGGTGAAATTCGAGCGGAGGCGCCGGGGAAATGAAACCTCAAATGACTCAGGTGAAAAAAAATCTTCGCAACCAAAAAAGAATATCTCTGAACCTTGGGAAAAAGTCTGCAGTGTTGGGCCACCAGCAATATTTGCTTTTGTTGAGCTGATCTAGCTTCAATTTTCTTCACCTTTGAGGACCAAAAAATGATGGGGCTGTGACCTGATGTCCAGCGCAGGACATTTTCCTGCATAGTTGCTGTCATAGATCATCTTGGCCGTAGATCTAATCACAAAACTACTAGTCATTGATTATATTTAATGATCATATATCCACATCCACATCCACATCCACATCCACATCCACATCACTATATGCTGTAATATCAGGATTCATAAACCCTAGGCCCTAGTTGATTCATTCTTCGCTTTCCAAAAGCATCCAGTTCTCCGCCGGACTCCACCCGGATCCCACCGTCTGAACAATGCGATGAAGTGTATCGTCGCCACCAATTCCACTGATGGTGCGGATGGGACGGTCCTGGCGTCGGACACCGGTTCCTTTTGCTGCTGCGGCCGCCCGGCCTCGATATTTATGGTTAGGGGTGTCAACTAACGGTTATGGTTATGGTTATGGTTATGGTTATGGTTATGGTTATGGTTATGGTTATGGTTATGGTTATGGTTATGGTGGTAAAAATTGATGGTTGCCTTGTGCCCTTCATTCGCGACCCCATCTTTGGTTATTAAATCCAACTCTTCATGGCGAATTGACCAACTCTTGAGTTGCAAAAAGACCTCCATTGCTGAAATTTCCCACTGGTGTTGCTGAAACATCCTCCAATCCCTCCAGAGATTGAACACCTGGCAGTTCCGACCACCTTTACAGATGGTCCAGGTGAAATCAGCCAAGACAGGGCCCCCAAACATTGAGATCTCCATGGGCCCTCGGTCTTAGCCAATTGACCACCACAAAACCTCAGTTCTTCGGGGATGGCCATGACCAATCCCCCATTACTGGTACCTACAGCATCCCGGCCGCTGAACCAAATGTTGTGTTGCTGCGTTGTATCCTCAAATCTGCTGGTTGGACCCTGGGTTTTTACAATTTGCGTCCAGATTTTGAAGGGTAAGATCCACATGCTCATGGGTTCTATACCAATGAAACCATCCAAACAGTTTAGCAGATTGACATATTTTTCTTCTTCAACGGGCTGAAACAACCGTGTGTAATGACAAGCAAGACCCAAACACCAAGTTCCAGACCGCCTGGAAGCACTGCATGGATGGTGGCATCGTAGTAGTTGCCATCCTGAGTGAAAATGACAAAAATGGGAAATGGGAACAACTACCGGTCACCTACCATTTTCAATGGCTCAATTCTTTGAAAAAAAATGGTTTTCCGTCTGCATGTTGGTGAAATCCTCAAGGTTTTGGCACCAGATTTCACCCGTTTTCCTGGGGTGTTTCGTCCTGGCTACCCTCCGGCAATCACACATGCTGCCTCCGACGACCTTCTGCACTCGCTCGCAGAGCAACCTGCAGTGGTTACAACATAGGGAGCTAAAAACTATATAATTTTAACATATACATATACATATACATATACATATACATATACATATACATATACATATACATATACATATACATATACATATATACACATTTTTGATTTTCGTTTTATATGTTTTTGTTCATCAGCGATATGAGGTTCTAGACGAACTACACGTCTGCAGCAGTTTTCGGTCAGCCAGGTGGAAAAACGCCATGAAAAGGAGACAACGGAAAGAACAGGGGCGGAACTGCTGCGGGAAAAGCTGCTAGCCAGCATCTATAACACGGGACCCGAATTGTGTAGGTGGACCCCAAACGCACCCAAACAAAGGAGCAAACAATAAAACAAAGGAGAAGGTAACCAGAAGGAGATCGGTCCCCTGACGTACAGCAGGGTTCGTGACCACCTGTCTCTGGCTTTGGAGAATAGTCGGAAAAAAAGAGACAAGGGATTCAAGGGACACAATGGAGTGACCGTAGTCTCCCGGCACGCCTCTGGCGGCCCCTGCTAGCTTTAGCTGTTGGTGAAATGGAGCCGGTGTGACTAGAAAGAGCAATACGGTCTGGGCCCCTCAAAAAATTCGGACCTGTCCAATGAATGTATATCTTCATATATCTTCAATAAATCATAAATCTTTATAATCGAGGACATTCTGTCCTGTGAGACATGTACTTGGAAGAAAAATTGTAGGTGGAGGACTCACCTGAGTATCCGTGAAAACAACAATGATTCAATGACATGGCCCTCAGTTCAGAATGACGAGGAAAGTTCGTTCCAGCAACAAAAGGGGATTGCAATGTTAGAAGAAGATGCGCTGGACTTCCCCCACAACCTAAAAATTGGAGTTGAATGTCACAAAGCCAAAAAGTTCTAGTGGGAGGCACAACAATCCTTAGACCCCTATTAATCCCCATTAAACTCCCAGGAAACCACCATTCTTGATACTTAGATCCCCCAAAATATGGCATAATTGTTGGATTCCCCAAAATATTGCATGATTATCAACAAAAAATTATTGAGATATCCAAACATATTCACATAATTATATATATCCACTTGAGATATACCAAAAAACCATCAGAAAATCCCATGGAAATTGTCATCCATCCCATCCATCTCCACCATCCCGGCGGGTCCCACCGGTTCTCGCTGGCCGCGTCGTGCAGCGCTTCCATCGCCAGATCTGTGGCCATCGAATGCTCCGCCCCACCAGGCGCCACGGCCAACGAGGAGAGCCTGGCGCAGGGGTCAGTAGAGAATCAGCATGAAATCAGCATGAAATCAGCATGAAATCAGCATGAAAATCAGCCTGAAATCCTCCATAAATGGAGGTTTGAATGGGAAATTCAATGGCCATCCACTGGCAATTTGGGATTTAACCTGCGAACAATGGGAATTTCATCAGGAAAGTCATGTCGAGTTCATGGGATTGAATCTCAAAGAACTCCGGTGATAACCAACCGATCTGGTGGTCTAATACCACCCATGCCAAGAATAGTAAAATAATCGCATTGGGGGGTGAAGAGTGAGACATCGTTGAAACCGCCAGTTCTCGTTGCGTCAAAAAAAGGCCACGGCCACCATTTCATCCCACTGAAATCTTCACAAAACTCGTCAGATTGTCAGCGGCAGGATCAGGATCCCATTCAATCTGCAAAAAAAGTCATGGCATGTCATGGCTATCTGCAAACCAGTACCACTGTATGATTTTGTGATCTCCCATATTTTTTGGCGCTTGAAACCACCAGGCCTTTCGGACTCGCTGTCCAAATGGCTGCGCAGAGCCGTGATCAGCTCCGTTCGCCTGGCACAGGGGACCCAGGGGACTTGGATCCAGTGGGTCAGTTGGCGAAAATGGGGTCAACCAGCCAAATAGCCATCCTAATTGAGAAAATATCGGGAAGATACAATTCATCTCCCCGGCGCCTCTGTTGTAGCTGCGTCCCAAGGCGTTCTAAGGACCGCTGCGTTTCAGTCGAAAGCATTTCGGCCACTCGCTGCACCTGCAATGCCACCTGAGGGCTTGAAAAAGACAACCAGGAAGTCCTGGAATCAGAGATTCACCAGCAATATCATGGGGAAATAGATGGGGAAATATGGAAATTTATTGTGAAACAGAAATATATGGAAATGTATTAGTAACCAAGTTGTTGGAATCAAAGATTAACCAAGTTGTTGGGATTTTAATGGTAATAAAATTGAAATAGATGCGGATATTAATCATCAATAGAATATTGCAATATCAATAAATAAAGTTATTAGTGGGATTCACCATCAGTATAATATGTATTGATGAACCATCAATCATTGGTATAAAACCAACCAGAAATGGGGATACAAATCATGGGGTTGTAACGGAATATAAATGAATATAATCATATTTGCATGATATTTGGGTGTGTCCGAAAATGGTGTATATACCTCCCAATGGCGATTTTCGATTTAAATATATGGGGAAAATGATGATATGGGGCTGCCCAATTTCGGACAACCCCATACGATCACCGGTAGATATGCTAAATGAACATAGAAATATGGAATGCCCTGGATTTCCGTAGGAAAATGATCTACTGAACGGAGAAGTTTTCCAGATCTATGTCTATGTTGAATTGCTGGAGGATAATCATTGGTAAACCCAATAGTAAACCATCAACAATGGCCAGAATTAGGTGGTATGAACCATCCCCATTTTTTTCGGATTTGTGTTTACGGCTTTCCCACATGAATCACTGATACATCAGTTGGGGAATCGATTTTTGGATCCATTTCAGGAGGCACATCTGACTCCATTCTTGCTTGGCTCAGAAACGGAAAGGGATCTAGTACTACCACTTAACCAAATGGTTGATTTCCAGACTCTGCTCAGAATCATCCCCATCCTTGGTGCTTAGAAGTTGAACCTCCATTTTTATCCTTAGATTAACAAGCTTCACTTCCCAATCCACCGCCAGCCACTAAGCTATCGACAGACTCGGAGGATGAACCTTGGCCGCTCTCGGCATGTGAAATCCCAGAGATTTTCCCCATTTTTTCTATGCCACTAGATCTCGTTGAATCCCATGTCAAATCATTTGAAGATAGATAGATAGATCTATGTGTATATATATATTACCCCAAAATCAAGATCTTGATATCTTGATAGAAAATCAGAGTGGCCCATGAAATCACTCCCATCGCATGGCATTATCATTAAAATCCCATCAATGGTCATGGGGGAATCCATCAGATTTTTAGCCAGCTATGTGGAGAAAACCAGCATCAAAGTCGTTCATTCTATATTTTGTTGTCCATTTAAAATCCCATCGTTTTTGGAACAACTTCGGGCCAACAATGTTCCAATCCATTCCAATTCATTCCAATCTCGTCTGTTTAATCCCCCGAACCCCCCCAATCGCTGGGTTGCTCCAGACACCCCACACAGGGTGGAGAATTGCTAAGGAGCTAAATTTATCTATTTCCCCAGCCTTGTGGCTATCATTTACCCATCATCCATTCCCCCATTTCTTTTAAATCCCAGTGCATATATAAAAACCCAGTGTTTTTCCTAGTTATTGGTCATCTTATCCTCCGGTAGTCAAACATGGCAATGGTAAATCCCAACAGTCATCCGACACAATGGTGGCTGGCTTCCCTTATCCCGTATGGTTCCCATCTGAAATCCCAGAAATAATCAGTTGATTTTTTGGGGGCCTCTTTATCCTATCAAAATCCAATCCAAAACCCCCCCATTTTTGCTGGTCCCATTAAAATCTCCAAAATCCCATGGGATACCCCCATTTTTGCTGGGTTTTGTATCCCAAACGAAGGTGATCATCCTATCAAAATCCCCATTTTTGCAGATTTTCGATCAGAAATTGCCCCAGGCACTGGTGATACTCGGCTCCTCCGTCTCCTCCAACTCCCGCAGGCGGCGCTCCACGGAATCCAAGCGCTGCTCCAATCCTCAAACGAAGTGGTCGCCGCGGACCAGTGAAATTCAGATTTCACCAACAAGAAATGGTGATTTCATGGGATTTCATGGTGATTAAACGGGATTTCATGGTGATTTGATGGGATTTCATGGTGATTTAATGGGATTTCATTGTGATTTAATGGGATTTCATTATGATTTAATGGGATTTCATTGTGATTTAATGGGATTTCACTGTGATTTAATGGGATTTCATGATGATTTAACGGGATTTCATGGTGATTTGAGGGGATTTCATGGTGATTTAATGGGATTTCATTGTGATTTAATGGGATTTCATTGTGATTTAATGGGATTTCATTGTGATTTAATGGGATTTCATGGTGATTTAATGGGATTTCATTGTGATTTCAGGGGATTTCATGGTGATTTCAGGGGATTTCATGGTGATTTGATGGGATTTCATTGTCATTTAATGGGATTTCATTGTGATTTAATGGGATTTCATTGTGATTTAATGGGATTTCACTGTGATTTAATGGGATTTCATTGTGATTTAATGGGATTTCATGGTGATTTCAGGGGATTTCATGGTGATTTGATGGGATTTCACTGTGGTTTAATGGGATTTCATGGTGATTTCAGGGGATTTCATGATGATTTAACGCGATTTCATGGTGATTTCAGGGGATTCATGGTGATTTAATAGTTTTTCACTGTGATTTAATGGGATTTCACTGTGATTTCAGTGAAATTCATGGTGATTTGATGGGATTTCACTGTGATTTAATGGGATTTCACTGTGATTTAATGGGATTTCATTGTGATTTAATGGGATTTCACTGTGATTTCAGGGGATTTCATGGTGATTTAATGGGATTTCATGGTGATTTAATGGGATTTCACTGTGATTTAATGGGATTTCACTGTGATTTAACGGGATTTCATGGTGATTTAACGGGATTTCATGGTGATTTAATGGGATTTCATGGTGATTTAATGGGATTTCACTGTGATTTAATGGGATTTCATGGTGATTTAATGGGATTTCACTGTGATTTAATGGGATGTCACTGTGATTTAATGGGATTTGACTGTGATTTAATGGGATTTCACTGTGATTTAATGGGATTTCATGATGATTTAACGGGATTTCATGGTGATTTAATGGGTTTTCATTGTGATTTAATGGGATTTCATTGTGATTTAACGGGATTTCATTGTGATTTAATGGGATTTCATTGTGATTTAATGGGATTTCATGGTGATTTAATGGGATTTCATTGTGATTTAATGGGATTTCACTGTGATTTAACGGGATTTCACTGTGATTTAACGGGATTTCATGGTGATTTAACGGGATTTCATGGTGATTTCATGGGATTTCATTGTGATTTAATGGGATTTCACTGTGATTTAACGGGATTTCATGGTGATTTAATGGGATTTCATGGTGATTTAACGGGATTTCATGGTGATTTAATGGGATTTCATGGTGATTTAATGGGATTTCATTGTGATTTAATGGGATTTCACTGTGATTTAATGGGATTTCATGATGATTTCAGGGGATTTCATGGTAATTTAATGGGATTTCATGGTGATTTAATGGGATTTCACTGTGATTTAACGGGAATGGGATTTCATGGTGATTTAACGGGATTTCATGGTGATTTAATGGGATTTCATGGTGATTTAATGGGATTTCACTGTGATTTAATGGGATTTCATTGTGATTTAATGGGATTTCATTGTGATTTAATGGGATTTCATTGTGATTTAATGGGATTTCATTGTGATTTAATGGGATTTCACTGTGATTTAATGGGATTTCATTGTGATTTAATGGGATTTCATTGTGATTTAATGGGATTTCATTGTGATTTAATGGGATTTCATTGTGATTTAATGGGATTTCATTGTGATTTAATGGGATTTCATTGTGATTTAATGGGATTTCACTGTGATTTAATGGGATTTCACTGTGATTTAATGGGATTTCATGATGATTTAACGGGATTTCATGGTGATTTGAGGGGATTTCATGGTGATTTAATGGGATTTCATTGTGATTTAATGGGATTTCATTGTGATTTAATGGGATTTCATTGTGATTTAATGGGATTTCATGGTGATTTAATGGGAGTTCATTGTGATTTAATGGGATTTCATGGTGATTTCAGGGGATTTCATGGTGATTTGATGGGATTTCATTGTCATTTAATGGGATTTCATTGTGATTTAATGGGATTTCATGGTGATTTAATGGGATTTCCATGGTGATTTCATGGAATTTCATGGTGATTTAGTAGGATTTTGGCGAACTATATAACATAGCTATAGAAAATGGCCCATTTGGTTTGTAATTTGGTTTGATGATTTGCCTATCAAAATAGTGATCTTCCATAGCTCTGTTAGTTTGCCAGAGGGTAAATATATGGATGTCATCACTTCAAAAAAAGGCAGAAACTCTACAAGTCAGTAGCCCAAAATCATGCCAATTTTGCCAACAAAAACCAACTGAAAATATGGATTTCACAGCCTCGTTGGAGTTGATCAGCTAAAATGATGGGTTCTTAAGGGTGATGGGGGGGGCAGGGATGCTACCTTTACTATCCAAATGTTGGGTTGTTTGAGAGGAAACACTATCTGTATCTATTTGTTTGCCCGGAAAAGCTGGGTTGTTTCAACCAGAAAAAATGTAGGCTGCTCAGCCATCGAAAGCCTGCAGTTAAATCATGAAAACCAACCAAACCTTGCGAGTTTATCAAAAATGGGCCCATCCGAAGCAAACATGTTTACCGGTTTATAGCTACCCAGAATCGCTGGAGGGCTTCAGGTTGGAGTTGATTGTGCTTATGCTGCATCATTTTGATCCACATGTATCCACTTGTCCCCATGTTTGATGTTTCTATCCTATGAAATTCCAATTGTTCATGGCATAAACCTCCATTTTTTCTTGATTGAAGCTGTGTTTTACTCTGAGTCACACCATTTGGGTGTGTTTCTTTCAAAGTCAGGGTTGTAATCATCATTTTCCCAATTTTTCCATGGCCATCAATCGGAGTATCCCCCACTTTCAGACAGACTGCAGTCTCCGGTCTGTGTCCCATTCATCTCCCGCCTTTTTGGTACGTTTCCCATTCTCATATCAAGTTGCTTATAGATATCCCAATTGCACCATATATCTGGGTAAATTATAATATTTCACTAACCTGAAATAAGGCCATTTTGGGATGATTCCTCTTACTAACCATGATTCCAATGAGGTCGCAGTGAGGTCGTTATAATTTACCCAGATATATGATAATCCCATGAGAATCCCATTCTTATTGCCTAAGTCACCATATTTGCTGTCAAAACAGGGTATATGGTTTAAGTTTATTATCCATGCCATGGGAGTCCAAACATAATGACTATATAAATCCCCAATGGGTTAATGACACCATGAATACACCTATGAAATCATCACGTTCAATGGTTAGTTATCACCACTTATCACCACTTTCAATGCTTAAGTCACAATTGCAAGCACCCTGTTATCTCCCCAAAATTCACTAATGTTCACCTATGATTTGTCAATGCCCCCTGAATAAAGCTAATTTTTTCCCAAAATAAATAATAAATGCCCCCTAAATAAAGCTAATTTTTTTTGGCCCTAAACCCAGATTTGCCCAGATGGGGCTGATTTTTTTTTTCCATGCTTTATTTGAGGTGGCTTTCATGTACTAATTCATATTGCCAGCTCATTAGATCTTACCTTGATAACTTCAAATTTTCAAAAATAATGGTTGCTCTTTTCTATTCAAAACCTTTATTCAAAATTATTCAAAATCAATCCCAAATCAACTCGTCAAGGGTACCCCCCATGAGGTGCCTTGGCACTAATTAGAGTTTGACCCTGAATAAAGCTAATTGTTTTTGGCCCTAAACCCAGATTTGCCCAGATGGGGCTGATTTTGTTTTTTCCATGCTTTATTTGAGGTGGCTTTCATGTACTAATTCATATTGCCAGCTCATTAGATCTTACCTTGATAACTTCAAATTTTCAAAAATAATGGTTGCTCTTTTCTATTCAAAACCTTTATTCAAAATTATCCAAAATCAATCCCAAATCAACTCGTCAAGGGTACCCCCCATGAGGTGCCTTGGCACTAATTAGAGTTTGACCCTGAATAAAGCTAATTGTTTTTGGCCCTAAACCCAGATTTGCCCAGATCCATGACATGAATACTAAATCAATACTAAATCCATGACATGAATACGAGATCAATACTAAAACAATTGCTGGATTCCTTTTTTTTTGAAATTGCATTTTATGTATTCGTTTTCAATTGTGGTAATTTAAAACCTTTACATACAAACAAGTTTTATGGTGGCCTTAAGTCTATTTAGGGTCAGAGAGAGGGGGGGGGGGGGCCCTATTGTTAAATCATAGGTGGACATTAAATATCAATGGCAATCATCCCATCATTCAGCGGCCCACGGCCTTGCAGCTTTTCCTGCGCCGCTCGCCGCTCGCTGGCGAGGGAATCCCGGAGACGTCGCAGGCTGCAAGCATCCTCTGGAAGCACCTGGCTATATCGAGGCTGAGATCGTGCCTGGCTATGGGCTATAAATAGATCTTAAATAAAAAGGGGATCATGTATATGTGATGTATATTATATTGCTATATATGGCTAATAATGAGAGATATGCCAATGTTCACCTTTTTTTTTTCAATAATTCATACAATATGCTGTATATCTATTCAAACTTTAGGCATTACAATGACATTAGATAAAGATCTGAAATGAAGGCAAAAATTAACTGGGGATATTAAATGTACAATGGCGGAGAATGCTGAGGATATTGCGAGAAAAAATGAGGATATTCAATGGTGATATTGATAGAAAAAAATGCAATATTACACATAATGTGAAATGATCTTGGAAACAGAGGGATCTGCGCAATTTCTAAGTTCTGTCACCAACAATGTCGTCATATAACGATCACATAATGTGAAATACCTTCTACCTGCCCTACCACTCCCCTAGAATTCCAAATCAGCATAGAAAATCCTAGTTACAAACCCTTTTGATATATACCATAACAACTCAACAACCTTGCTCTTGGTGTGTATATTTCTATATATCTACATATATTGCTATATAACCTATTTATATGATATATATATATCATATACACAATTGTGTGCGCTTCCACCTCGCTCTTCGCCGTGGCAGTTTGCAGTTCTCGGATCTCACGCTCCGGAGCCCGATCCGCAGAGAGGATCTGTTTGATGCGCTGGAGAACTTCCAGGAAGGCAGGGCGATCCTCCTTGGGGAAGGACTTGGAAGGTGAGAGAATTTATACATATATATATATATACAAGCTATATATATATAAGCTGTATATATATATGTATATATATATATGTGGATTCATATATACGTCCATGTGTATATACATGTTACTGTATATACATTTAGTCTTGAGCAGCGACATTTTATGGCACCAAAAATGCTGGGTTTTTACACAACTTCAGGTAGGGCCTTGATCCTCACCTGGGACCAGCTCCTGCTGCCACAGGGTAATCAAGCTGCACACAGCCACCCTGCATCATTTGGAGCTGCCGAATCAACGGGATTGCAGTAGATCTTTGAAAAACCATGGGCTCCTTGGGCAACCAGATTCAAATCTACCCTGGAACGGCAGAGTGCAAATGACCAATGCGGATCCTCCAAATCCTGCTCAAACCATGCGGATCGCCCCATCGGTTCCCGCCTGATGTCGTGGCCCCGCAATCGCAGCTCCGCGCCCGGAACAAAATGCCTGGGATCTTGGGATCCACCGGTGATCAAACTTGTTGAGGGTGCATCCCCCATTGTTGACCCATTGTTGAGTGGTTGAACCCCCCGTTCTCGCTCGGTTCACTTCACCATATTGGGTTTTCACGGTGCTTCCGTCCTGTATCTTTGGTTTCTTTAAGACCCCATGTTTGGTCTTTGGTCTATCCTCCCAAACCCTGCACAACAGCACGTAAAACAATCATCTTGGCATACCGTGGATGGAACAAATCCCTGCAGTAGATGGTTTTATCCTGTTACCCTCTGGTCATTTAACAATGGCCATTTGAAAATATGTGGTGATTTATAGTTAGCCTTGATTTACCTATTTTTTGAATGGTGATTTTCCAGTTCGCAAATTCTTAGTTTACCAGAAAATATCACCCAACAGTAACTGCTTGCAGCCAAGGCACAAGGGCTCGCTGGGCAGTCCAAGCAATCGCAGGCCCTGCCGGACCCCCTGCTCTGTCCTCCTGGCGGATGGCTGTGAATCTGCTGGGATCATGAAAGAAAACCAAAAAAAAAATGAGGTTTCAATGATTTTCAATGGTTCAATGGCTTGGTTACAGTTGTTTGCAGTTGCTTAAGGGAACATCCACCAGGAAATCGTGGGTTTTGTGGCAGATCTTCCCTTCAACCGATCACCCGATAGAGGCCATCCTCAAACTATTAACCGACAGAGACTTCGGGCATTGCTCACATAGGTACCAGGAAAAAAATAAACATGGTCGATCTTTAAAAGAACACAGGAAAAGAAATTAGGAGACTCTTCACGTTTGAGACTCCTCCTGTGGTTGCGTATGTCGTTATCTCTGTGACACGAATTCTTATAACAGTAGCTGGTTTCACCACTCCCAACTTCCAAGGGAAAAAATACATGTTGCTTCTATACCCCGTTGCTAGTTGGTGGTACAACCCGAAAATTCTCGTTTAGACAAGGATGAAAGACATGTTTTTTGTGGGTCAAAACCTGGTACCCTGCTGCTCCAAAAATGATGGGCGCTCATGGAGTGTTCATCCCAAAACTATGGTATGGTTTTGATCATGGGTTTGTCTGAAAAATGTCGCACCCCTAAATCTTCTGGTTAATCATCATGTTCCCCCTCAATATGCCATAATTGGTGGTGTATACCCCATTTTCGAACACACGCAAAATATCCTATTGTTGGTGATATTTCCAGATGTTGATTCTCCAAATTATTCTTATCATTTATTATCCCATATTTATCATCATGGTTGTTCTTGTTATATATTGCTGCGATGATTCTTCCAGTGTACCCCACGAAAAATCCCATGCAAATTCACCACGAACTCCCGAAAGAAATCCGGCCTGGACATGGCGTCCACAGCTGCCCCGCACTCCTCTGGACTCGGAAACCCTGAGTCGCCGCCTTGCAGCTGCCACGAGAGCTGAAAATCTGATGTCCATGTGCATTTCTCTAAAAGATTAGGGAAAATGATGTCCCAATTGATGGCTATGTTCGACCATGTTCATAGGGGAAGATGGGTTTCCAAAGCATCAAATTTAAGGGGCGACCTTATTGTCAGACAAACCCATTTGGTGAATTTCCATGTGAATCCCTTGATTTAAGAGAGAGGTGAACTGCACTAACCAGAACCACTTTTCGAAACTGGACCGGTTCAGTGAGAGGAATAACCACTCATGCCTTAGATAAAACCCCAAATATCCAACTTCAAGGGTTGCACTAAAACTGCCAGAAAGCTTAAGACAATAAGGGGAAATCGGAAGGAAAAAACTGCACAAATCTTTAGAGGATCCGCCCTTTTTTAGGACCTCTGAACCCCTTCCTGATGAAGGGGGCCCATATGGGGGGGGTAATTGTCGACTACTACGGGAATGGGATAGAAATCACTATGCTTGATGTTTACTATTAGCAAGAGTCCCCATCCTTTCATGGCATTTCATGGATCTTAAGGTATTTGATCATTAAAAACCCACCATTCTGAATGGTGGGCCACCAATTTTCATCGAGGCACTGTTCTCACTAATCACTGAGGTGGTCCGTGAGCGACTCTTGCTGTCAGCCCGGGTGCTACCTGCATGCGGATATGTCTGGAGGACACACTGTCAGGGATTCATGACATGTAAAGACCCTCAAGTGAATTTAGATAGATCTGGAAAAAGAAACATAATAATAATAATGATAAAGATCCTGTCCAATTGTTTTTTTCCCAATGTTTGTTGCCATGTCGATGTTCATTGACTGGAGGGTGTATAAGCTAGGGAGCCTCAGCCCCCAGTTCATGCTCATCCCCATCATCATCGCATACATTTTAGCATACATCACCCATAAAACCATAACAGCCTCATCATATCAACCCATCTCATCCATCTCATCCATCTCATCCATCTCATCCATCTCATCCATGAAAATTATACAACATAATCATCATAATTATATCAAATACTGTCCATCGAAGCATATAAATATTATATATATATATATATATCACCTTACCTTATCTATTTCATAGGTTTCTTTCTGGAAATCATAATTGATGATTTATTGTGAAGATTATGGGATTAATTTCCACATATCAGCATACATACAAACTAACTAGCATATCACAACAGCATCACATCTTTCTCAATCACAAATATTTTTATATAATTACCGCAATTACCATGCCCAAACCGCCCTTCATGAACTTGTTGATAACCATGTCTTCTGAACCTCAGCGCGATGTAAATGGCACAGCAATCCAAACTTTTGGGGCGAAATGGAGTGAAAGAGATTTGTGTGCGTCCATCCTTGTTGGTGTCAGTCTTCTCAAGTATTTTGAAACTTGTGAAGGCTCACTGGCATGAATGACCTTTTCAGCCACAAAAGCCTCTGCTAAGAACACTGTCTTGAAAGTCGCCCGGTTGGCGAAGCAAACAGCAAACAATGTTTTGCAACTCACTCTACTTGCTTCTCAAGACAAGGCATGACGCAAGTCACCATGTGTCCTGAGACCGAGCAAGAAGCCCAAAGTGTCTCTCATGGCGCAGATCTCATTGTGCGTCTGCGGCGTCTCCTATGCTCGCGCCTCCTCCGCCTCCTCCGCCGCATATTATTGCCCGTCCTGGTCTCCTGTGTGCCTTCGTCGCAGCTCATGTTTTGCCCGCAGGAAATCACCGTGCTGTTGATGCTGGTGGTGGTGTTGGTGGCTGCAGCTCCAGAGCTCACTGCAAGGATGAGGCAAGCGAACACAACGGATTTGAGCGCCATGGCGTTGCCGACACCACAAAAAAAACGCCCCTGAGTGGTTTGAGGAAACACTTCCCAAAACAGCTATGGGAGAACATAAAGATGCTGGAAAATGACACAAAATTCCAAGCTCAAACTGAAAGAGCTAATTTCTGTAGCTTTCAAATTTAGAATGTCAAAGACGCTCAAATTGAAACAGCTTCCACGGTCAAGTGAAGTTCCAAGAAAATGTGGCAAACTCACAGCTTCAAAACTCCGACTGGCATATTCCCAAAAGCTGAGCGTCCGACAACAGGATGAAGAGAATATTGATGACGAAGCCATGACGGGGCAGAAGGGCAAAGGAACATGGAGTAATCCCAGCCAATGACACAAATGTGCCAAAGACAAAATCATGGGGAAAACAAATGAAGGAACCAAAAGAGCAAATCAAATCAAACCAAAAGGCTTTCCAAAAAAAGCAAAATATTTTAAAAGTTCATGCCTCATCACCAATCTTGGGTAATCAGTTAATTTGTAATATGTTTGGTTAAACTTTTCTGCAATCTCTTGCACAACATAATAACCTTTCAGCCTTTCAGCCAAGGAGAAGTTCTTTCCTTTTCTGTTATTGCCTTCTTTCTCATTATCTTTACTTTGTCTCCCACCTCTAATGTTGGATACATCCTTTCTTTCTTTGCATTTACTGAAACATTAAGTTTTGCTTTAAACTCATTCCTTTCTCTCCTTGCTTCATTTGGCACAAGTCCAGTGGCACTATGGACATCCTTATTGTTATATGTTAGCATAAACTCGGTTATATATGTAATCATCCATTGTATATTATGTTTTCCCTTTTTCTCATCATTCTCAACCCGTTTAAATAGTTTATCCTTAAATGTCCTAATAAATCCTTCAGCGAACGTTGGATGCCCTCTAGTTCTATAAAGTTCAATCCCTTCATCTTTTACTCGTTGTTTGAAGTCGGCACCACTTATACTACCTTCATCATCAGCGTATATGATTGTTGGTTTTGCCTTCATCTTCTCCAGCCCTTCCATTGTTCCAGCAATGACATCGGCTGGGCTTTTACTCTTGATTGGGACTATATACTACAGAATATATTTACTTAAGACATCAATGATTACCAGTCCCGCCCTAAACTTCTGAGTAGCTTCAATATATTTGTTTGAAATGAAAAACAAATCAAGCTGAAAAGCATGGTCATTGTGGGGGGGGCTACAAAACTGTTCTGACCTCTTTGTTTTCTTTTAATCTCAACAGTATTTCTTTAAACATATTCTACATCTTCGTTTGTTATAATCTTATCTTTTTCTGTGGCATCTTTCAAGGTTGTATTCTTTGAACCATACCCCGCTCTATCATAATAAATATGTGACATAATCTCCTGTTTAGTACTCATTCTCAACTATGTTAAGATAATTATGTTTGCTAAAATTATTTAGCAATAATCAGTGGGCACTACAATTACAATACTGGCACCAAGGCTCAACATTGTCTATATGATGACTAATCTCATTGTCTAGCCTTTGAAATGTGAAGTTTGTTGATAATTTCCCTGCCTTCATCCCAATGTAAAATTTTACCCCACAGTGGGCACAGCAACCGTGAAAATGTTTTAAACATAAATCCTCATCAACATAGTTTTCTAAATCAATCTCTCTATCTGCTACTTTATCCTGCTTCTTGTATCCTTCTACTTTGTTCTTAAAATATCCTACTATTAAATTCTTCTGCATCTCTTAATCTGCCTTGCAATTCCTAAAGCAATAGGCATTGTTAAAATCCCTTAGCACGCCAAGTCCACTCTGCTTACCAGATATGATTTTTGCCATTCGTGGATTGTAATGTTTGATGCTATTAATGTCCCTTGCCTGCTATGACAGGTTGAGCAGTAAGCATATCTAGAATGATTGTCTATGACACTTTCACTTACTGTTCTGGCATTCTCCTTATCCTTGATGTCCTGTATTGTAATCATACTGCCTTATACCTTTGTAATTAACCACCTGATATTTACATTGAATTTGCCCTCTTCATCCTTCCGGCACAAACTACATATTAGCATCTCACCCGCTTCATATTGACCTTTCTTACCTAATCATCTTCTCACTTCAGTTGATACTGCTTGACATCTCATATTGGTATATGCTAGGTTGTTCTCACTTTGCAGTACATCTTTTGTAAATTTGAAATGCTTGACTATCCAATCACAAACATCCATTTTCTTAACCCACCAGTCATCATACATTTCATCCAACTTCTTTCTGTTTCTTTCTCCTTCTTCGGTGTCTTTGCCTCCTACACTCTTACATATCTTTAAAAAGGTTATGTACTTAAAGATTATGTCAATACAACTATCTACATACTCCTCTACATTCTGGCAGTTAGTATAAGGTTCAATGCTTGGTAGTTGCTTGACATCACCGGCACCTACCATAATCAAATCAGGGTTCTCCTCACAAAATACACTGATTTTATTTAATATATATGGACTTGACATTTAGATTTCATCAAACACTATGACCTGATAATCACTGCAATCATATCTAGGCAACTTATCACCCTTAAAAACTGGAATGCTAAAGAATGTATTTAATGTTGTAGAATCACATTCTATCTCTTGCTTCAGCACATTCTGAGGGACAACGAATAAAGTAATTATAACCCATCATCTGTAGATGCTTGCCTATAAAGCTCTTGCCACTACCGGCATATCTAGCTCTCAACATCATCCTCTTTCTTCTGATAATATTTTTTACAAATGGCTTCTACATCCCATTCATCATCTACTTCTTCCCTTTCTTGTTTATACACCGGTGCTGTTGGGATTTCATCATGTCTCCAGCTATACCTTTGAGGAATGGGTTTTACCTTGTTTTTTGACATCCTTTTTAGCAATATGGAAGGCATCACTCTTAACAGCATAAACATTAATGTTATTGGATTTTAGCTTCTCAGCACTTTCATACATATAGAAGTTATGATTGTGTAAAAGCAGTTCTTTAATGTGCCTAAATCCGTTCATCAACTTCCTCTCTCCTGATATGCTGACAATGTAGTATTTATTCTTTCTACTCTTCTCTACCTCATTGCTACTTTAGGTCTCTATTTCTGCGTATTGTATTTCATCATCTTCAACCTTGTATTCATAAATTTGACTTGCCTTATCACCGGTAATCTTATTATATATACTAGGGTCCAGTGACATGAGTACTTTGTTGTGACGTTCTCGACAGATGACATAAGTATTCGTCCATACGTTTTCGGTCCAGGAGCCAGATGACATAGTTTTTGCGGCATGATTTACGTTTGCCCCATTTTTAACCCATGTCATCTGAGCAAACTCAGCCTGGGAGCCCCACCAATTTCTGGTTGGTGGTTTCAACCCCTATGAAAAATATTAGTCAGTTGAGATTCTTATTCCCCAATATATGGAAACGTAAAAAAGTTCCAAACCACCAAACAGATTTGGACTTTTTGACCCCAATTCCCAATGATCTGGTTTGTAGATACAGGTGAAAATCAAATATGCGCATGGAAAACATATTGACGCGTCAAAGAAAAGGGCAGTGACCGAGCTGCAACAGCGCCCAATCGTAAAATGAATTTATTCCCATGCCGGTTGCCTGGAGAAGAAACCATTTCATTCCAAAATGCGTGCATTTATAAGTAAAGATCATATTTGACTTTTCTACAGCAGCCATGAAAAATAGCCAAATCACTAGTTCGTTAGTAAATATGCCCTTTATCCGTTGTAACAACCTCCAATAAGCCAGTTAGTACAAACCCCTATACTAACCCCTTGACAGAAATATGCAAAATGGCCCAAATGTACATCTCCAAACCTTCGCGTCATTAGGCGTCGCGGCTGCATCCTACCCCTACGCATGTAGGAAAGCACATGAACCCCCAAGCTATTTTCACTCATTCTCCAAATGAGAAGCTCCACAGATTACACGTCAGAGGCTGAATTTAGCTCCCCTACCTTGGGGAGATGTCCTCCCCTAGGGGAAATGCTCATTTCTGTTCTATTTCTGGAGTATTTTTTGGAAACAAGGCATTACAGGATATTTTGCGTATCCTGTTCTTGATATTTGGATATTTTGAGTATCCTTTTCTGGATATTTAGATACTGGGAGTATACTTTTTGGGATAGTGGGATACTGGGAGTATCATATTTGATACTCTATATAATTGCTACTGTTTTGTTGAATAAGTTTATCCCACAATTTATATAATAATTCATTATATAAAATATATTGTAATTATTTTTCTAGGAATATTTCTAGTAATGATGATTATCTAGAAATATACCAAGTAAATGAATGAGATGATGTTTATAGTATGCTTTGATGAAAATGAATATATAATAATATATTATATAGTGATTTGGATGAAATGGACGATATAGGTTGATATGATGAGGTTGTTATGGTTTTATATGGTGATGTATGATGAAATGTATGTGATGATGCGTGGGGGGATGAGTATGAACTGGGGGCTGAGGCCCCCTAGCTGTATACAGGTATACTGATTCAGGATGATTCAGGATTCATGTTTCATATTCATGTTCATAGATCTAGTAGTCCTTTCTCCCTAGATTCAACGCGCCGCTCGGAAACTTTGTGGTTTAGTCTTGGATCTCTTCATTCTGCGATCCCATAAGGTATGTTTTATGTTTTTTGAAGTAAGGGGGAAGGGCTTAAGAACCATGCCCAAAAATGTGGGCATGGTGTGGTTTTATCTACATAAGGTAGCCACCAAAATGGCCATAAAATACTAGGTAAGTAATCTAGTTGGGTCATTTTCCATGGCAAAAACGGGTAATTTTATGACCCCAAATCTATTGGAAATCTTGGAAAACAAGCCATGTTTACATATTTCTAGATGAATTCCCTACCATTTCCATGGCCATTTTCCAGTTTTGCTACCTCTGCCATTTTCCTTCCATGGCACCTGTCTGGCGCGAAGCACTTCCAGGAGATTTCAGGCCCAGGGCGAGCAGCGCAGAGTCGATCTGCCGGCTGATTGAAAAATTGGATCGTTTCCTATAGCGGTAGATCAGGTCTATCCTCAATGGGCCTTAAAAACTATAGACTATAGAAGACTACCGTGTGGAAGCCATGGCCCATTGATGATAAAACTTATGATCGATTTCTATAGCTATGTTAAATGACCAGCGGGTAGCAAGTCATGTGGGGAATCAATCATCCCATTCTTGAGATGTTCATGTCAAAAAATGCTGAAACGACCAATAGGACAGCTTTAAAATGGATGAACCACACCATCAAACTGGCGAAGCACGGGAATCTCAGCATCAAATCATGGTGGTTTCACCAGACTCACCAGGCAAACTTTCCAATCATGATTGTCTTGTCACCAGAGGGACAGCTCAATCCCCTTTGGCGTGGGGAAGATCCGACCATTTCCCATCGAGTTGATGATGACTCAAAAAATCACCATTGAAATCACGGTTTTCTCCATTGAAATCACCAATGTTGGCTGAAAATCCCACAAAAATCCACCGCTTTTCCCCAGTAAATCCCCAGTCCCACCTCTGCACCATGCGTCTCCATGCCACTGCGCAGGTCCACCAGGGCCTCAATTTTGCGCTGGGGCTGGGGGTCCTTCAGTGGTTCCACCATGGATTGCCTTTGAACACCCATGACTTACTGGTGCTAAACGTAGGGAATGGATGGGAATGGGGGTTGCTGGGATGATTATTACTAGTGATGACATGGATCATTGACAAAATTGAGGGATCTTCATCCCAGGAGAAATTGAATACACCAAACAGACCAGTGATCTCCGAGCGTAGTTTGATTTCTTGTTAGTCGCCCGTGAACCACCTGTAGTTAAAACACCCCCAAGAATTTACATGGAGCCCAAAAATGTCATACGAACATAGAGGAAACTCACCTTCCAAACACCATTTCTGGTGCTTTATGTCACATTTAGTGGGTGTAATACTTCAGAAAATTGACAGAAATGTGGAAACCTAATAAATGATTGACCCAAACCATATAGGTCGCTTTTAAATCCCGCAGTATCCCATTATGTCCCAAAAAATAGTTGATTTTATACCCCATTCTTAAATCACCGTTCATTGCCATTTATCAATCATTTTTCCCATCACAAATTGCCATCAATTGGTGGTTAAATCAGTTAAATCCATCAAGTTTAGGGAATGGCACATGTCTTATCCCACGATATTCCATTCTGAAAATGCGTGATTTTACACCCATTATTTATGGTTCCCCATGAACATTCCCATATCATGTACCTATTCTTGTTGGTTGGTTTTATCATGTCATCCCAATTACATCAAATTGTATGACCATAAAAAATGCTTGTGTTTTATCGTGTTATATCAGATATACCCTATTGTATCCCATTCTATCACCTAACAATCACATCCCAATTGGTTGTAATGTGGGAAACCCAACAATAAACCTACCATTTGGGGGATGGTTCTGGATGGCTTGCAGTGCCCATGTTTGGTCTATTGGGTTTACCACACCAGTTCTACCCCATTGATCTTCGAAAACCAGCCGCCATCCCGCCTGCAAGAGCAAGGCGAGGACATGCACCCGATCCCGCGAGAATCGCCGAGAGGAGTTGGGCCTCAACGATCCCAAAGAATGGGTGGTTTGAACCAGAAAAGTTAGGATTCTATGGAAGGTTCAATGGAGGATCCCTAAGTCAAGATTTGGGTTTCAATACGTTTCAATACTCAAATAAGTCTGATTTTGGATAATTGGGGGGGTCCCCCCATTTTAGGAAACCTCGATATGGTGGGAGTACTGGTGAGATTATATGGTGGTAATAATGATGGCTGTTAGAATTTCATGAGTGGTTTGAAGAAGCAATAAATCATCATTACATGGCGGTCAAAACCCTGGTATCTTGCTGGTGAACAGCAAAGTAGCTGGCATTTATGGATTACGAGTCCCATATGGTGGTAATGATGATGGTATTACTGGTGATTTGTATAAATCTATTTATGGTGCATAGCGGTTAAACATGGCCAAACCCACTCTTTTTTATGGAAATGCTTCGGGAAGCCTCCAGAAATCTAAGGCATACACGCACTCCTAACCATCCTTGTTGGGTCATATTTGAGGTTGTCACATAGGTTTATCCTCAAACAGTAATTCGTTACATCTCCGCGTATCATAGTGATATCCCATCTTCTTTGGTTCCATCTCCATAGTTGTGGCTGATTTCAGCCATAGAAATCCATGCTGATCCAATTGCAGTTGGCTGTGAGTCAAAACCCTGGCACCCAAACGGTACCCTAAAATAGCTGCTTAGTGAATGGGGATTCCCCCAAATTATATTGATTATACAGTTATAGATCAGTTGTATCCCCAATTTTCATGACGCAAATCCTCGCCAACCCATCTGGATTCAGCTCACGGTAACTTCTGGAGCTTATACCTCGGGTCGCAAGCTTTGCACCCCAACAGCGAAAATGGAAGAATCGATCCCAACCCTTTTTTTCCGGGTCTAAGAGATCGAAAAAGGATAGAAAAAAAAAAATCACCATTCCGTAACCATGGAACTTTCCAGCCTTTTGGACTGCAAAAACCATCGAATGGTGATTTTCTGATTGGTTCGAATCCCTGGGCCAGCGGGATGATCAACCAATTTCCACATGGAGGTTTAGACAAACAGAAACTAGTTGAATCATCATTCCTATTTTGGTTAGATCCATTGAATACCCATTCCATCGCTGAAGTTCCAGTTTCCATTGATCCCACTTTCTGTTCATCGGCATGCCCGTTGGGTTCCTGATCTATATATATCATTTTCTACCAGCCAAGATACCCTTTCCTGCCAATTTTTTTGCTTAAAATCAAAAAAAACACATCAAAAACATCAAACTCCAAAATTTGTGGTCTCATTTTCTTGGTTTTCATGAAATGTGGTTTACCCTCTGGTAATTTAACGTAGCTATTGGAAATGACCATTTAGTTCGTTGATTTACCCAGTAAAAATGGTGGTTTTCCGTAGTTCTGTTGATTTACCCATTAAAAATTGTGATTTTCCATAGTTATGTTAGTTCACCAGAGGGTACACATTTTCCTGGTGTTCACCCTCATTTTCCTGGTCTCCCATCACCCATCCCCTTTCGCCCAGACACGTCAGGGAGTCCAAACGCATCTCCAAGGCTTTGGCCGCCTGCGAACGTACGGCCTCCCAGCGGCACTGCCAGGGACTGTTTGACCAAAATGGGCACATTTGAGGGTTTCCTACAATGCGGGTACCCCCAAATGGATGGTTTATAATGGTACCCCTATTTTAGGAAATCTCCATTTATGGATGATATGTTAAATCATATTAGAAATAAATATCACCATTGGATGATGTGTATGTGTTAATCATACCTAAATTAATTACCACCACTTCTGGTTGATTTAACGTTATTAGAAATAAACACGTGGATGATTTAACATTGTTAAATACCGGGTAATATTGGAAAGGATGATTTGGACGTTATCAAATACTACATCAGATGAGAAAGCGGCTGGAAAAAAGAAATACATACTTCTCTTTTTTTTGAAGGCCACTCAATCAGAGTTCATGATACAACTTGTTTATCAAGAGTTGGTTTTTTGAGGATCAAAAAAGATATCATGAGAAACGCGTCCAGAACCCTTTGCTGTACTCCACACCAAAGAGATGGATCATCAATACGCACGAATCCCAACATCACATGACACTGTGTATATATGTATCTACATACATTACATTACATTTCATTACATTTACATGTACATATACAGACACAATCATACAAACATACAAACATACAAATATACAAACATACGAACATACATACATTACATTACATTACATTACATTACATTACATTACATTACATTACATAACATATATATATACATCTATACGTATACATGGTACAGGCCTGCAACCCCCACCCCCCCACCCCGGTCATGGTCATGGTTCCCCGCCCCCCTGTGGGAATGGGGGAGTCTCTTGTTTGTATGTATGCATGCATGCATGCGTGCATGCAAGTATGTAATGTATGTAATGTATGTAATGTATGTAATTTATTTATGTAATGTATGTAAAGCATGTAATGTATGTAATGTATATAATGTATGTAATGTATGTAATGTATGTAATGTATGTAATGTATGTAATGTATGTAATGTATGTAATGTATGTAATGTAATGTAATGTATGTAATGTATGTAAAGCATGTAATGTAATGTAATGTAATGTAATGTAAATGTATGTAATGTATGCAATGTATGTAATGTATGTAATGTATGTAATGTATGTAATGTATGTAATGCATGTATGTCTGTCTGTATGTCTGTCTGTATGTCTGTCTGTCTGCCTGTCTGTATGTATGTTATGCATGTAAGTATGTAATGAAATGTGATGTAATGTAATGTAAGGTAACGTAATGTAATGTAATGTTAATGTTAATGCTAGTGTTGATGTTAATGTTAATGTAATGTAATGCAATGCAATGTAATGTAATGTATGTATGGATGTATTGCTATGTTATGTCTTGTTTCGTTATGTTATGTTATGCAATGCAATGTAATGTAATGTAATGTAAATGTATGTATTGTTATGTTATGTTTTGTGATGTTATGTAAGGTAATGCAATGTAATGTAATGTAATGCAATGTAATGTAATGTAATGTATGTATGTATGTACTGTTATGTTTGTTATGTTATGTGATGTTGCGTTATGTTATGTTATGTATATGTGTGAACGAATGTAATGTGACGTGACGTGATGTGATGTGATGTGACGTGATGTAATCTAATGTAAGTATGTACTGTAATGTAATGTAAATGTAGTGTAATGTCATGTAATGCAATGCAATGTAATGTAGTGTAATGTAATGCAATGTAGTGTAATGTAATGTATGTGCTTGCACAGATGTTGGATGCTACGTTGAAGTACGTCCCCCGTACTTGCGCAAACCCTTGCTGCTACGTTATAGGATCCTTTCTGGTACATGCATAGACAGTTGATGTTACGTTACATGACCTTCTAGTGTACACGCGCAGACAATTGATGCAACGTTTGAAGGAGTTATAAGATCTTCTCTCCTACTTCCGTAGACGCTTGATGTTACGTTACAAGATCTTCTCTTGCACTTGCACAGACACTTGGTGCTACATTAATAGACCTTCTCTTGTTTTTGCACAGGCACTTGAGGTTATAAGATCTTGTCTTGTACTTGCACACTTGCACAGACGCTTGGGCTTGGTGCTACGTTAAAAGATCTTCCCTCGTACTTGTACAGACACTTGATGCTGCGTTACAGGGTGCTGGGCTATTGGGGAGGGGGGACCACCATCTGGAAGAGGTAGCCGGGGGGTAGCCGGCCTGGGGGACCATACCATCTATGGAATGGAATATATATATATATATGTATATATATATGTATATATGGAATGATCTACTCCAAAAAACAAACAATGCATTCTCTTGTTGCAAAACATATTAACTATTGACACCCCCATGGATTTTTTCCAGTCCCTGGGAGGCATTCCAACATCTTGGTTCCTAAAATTTGAGGTACCAAAAAATCCCTACATGCCCTTGATATTTCCCATCAAAAATGGCCGAGTCTGGATGATTTTTTGGGGGTCAAAAAATGTTGGAGGTCGAAAAAATTGCCATTTCTGGATCATTTATTTTGGGTAAACAAACAAAAGAACACCAGTTGGAGTTGTTTTCCACTCAGAAGGGACCTCGCGCCAGTCTTCTTTCAAGGACCGCAAGGCAGTGAGCACCGCCAAGGTCTGGAAGGAATGTTATGAAGGGCAGGGCGCAGCAAAAAATGGCTGGGTTTACCCTCTGGCTTTGTTAGTTTACCAGAAGGTAACCACAATAAATGGTTTGTCCACTAACCATAAATGGGATCTGACCCCATCTGAAAGGCCCAACTGAGGCTACATTATCTACATTCACCTGACATAGGATCAAGTACCAGTTAGTTAGCCCACCCCAGTCAGCATCAAATCGCCGTATTCAGAGACTTCTTCGGGAAAATCTGGGCGAAACCTGCAGATCTGAATGGCGAAAATGCATGGTTTTCGGTCTTTTCTGTTAAGTCAACCCAGATATGATATCTAGGATCTAGCACTACACCTGATCCCCTAACACAGTTCGACAGTTCGACCATTTTGCCACGGCCTCAGATGAACTAGGCTCTGGCTCTGCAAACACCTCAGTGGTTCCGGTGATGGCCCGTTGCTAAAGTATCACCGGGCAAAGTTGCCAAACATGGTGTGTATGTATATATTTTTATTTATTTATTTATTTATGTATTTATTTATTTATACACTGTGTATATATATTTATATATTTATATATTTATATATATATATACGTGTATATATATATATTCATATAGATATATACATATATAGTATGTATATATCTATAGCATTTGTGACTAGCAGTTCCCAGCATTCAACTAACCAAATCTGAGGCTGGGAAGGACACAGAGCGTAAACCTACTGGAATGGTTGCCTTATCATTGACCATCCCCGCTGGTTGTTGCAAAAGATGCGCTGACCATATTTCTGGTGCCACAAATTCCATGTTTAATGAAAGCAAACATACACTAAGTTGGACGATGAAATTCAACTCCCCACTATTGTTGATGGAAACGAAACTCATTTCTGGAAGGAAAAATCCTCTTCTTGGGCAGAACCCGCTTTTGATGTTGAAATCCGAAGTTTCTCTTGAGTCCTATAGTCCCATTCATCCATTAAAAAGGTGCTGATGAAACAATAATCAACTCTACTTCAATTCTATAATCGGGACTACTTCAACTTAATTAAACACCATATTCTACAAAATCCCATTAATACATCCCATTCATCCATTTCAAGGAACAAATCAGGTACCCCTCAACCCCGTACCCCCTGTATGGGGGCAACCTTAAGCCTAGGTATAGACCAGGTGTATACCTCACTTCTATGGGAGCAGTATGGGATGCTTATGGGTGCGTTATGGGAAAACAGCTGGCTTATGTTATGGTATGTCCAACCACACCAGATGATGTGCCGACGGGACCGCAACGAAACGTGCACATTTCACAAAATTACCCTATAAGTAAGTTGAATGCTAACAAATGGGATGAACGCCAACGGATACCCATCTCATCAAGACGCCTGATTCAGGCTCACCATACACATACAATCTGCCGCCCGAGGTGCTGCTGCCACCATGGCTTCCACCAGAGGGCTGGCACACTTCGGCAAGCACAGCTGGCACAGCGCGCAGGTCAGAGTCATGAAGAAACAGCAAGCAGCCCTGAAAAAATATGATGCGTATATAGATCGTAAGAAATACTGTATTTTGCAAAAAAAATGATGATACGAATAATCATGGTCATAATACTATACTAGAAACAATAATGCTATGGTAGTATTATAATATGTATATATATATGTATATGTATATGTATATATATGTATATGTATATGTATATGTGTATGTGTATGTGTATGTGTATGTGTATGTATGTATGTATGTATGTATGTATGTATGTATGTATGAGTGAAATTCTCAGGTCATGTGATGTCCCATCCTTTTCAGGTGTCACACACGAACGCATGGCCGAATCTGCAGGGCGCCTTTGAGCTATCAAACTGAGTTTGGTAGCGGAGCCACCACGGTGGCTCCCTACCGGGACTTCGCCGTTCCCTGCTCAGCGGCTGCTACCTGCTGTGCAGGTTGCCACGTGCGCGTGGCGGGCGATCCTGGAAAAGGAGCTCTACCAGGGGCCTACTTTGTCGAGGAGCCCATCTCTCCTGAGGAGTTCTACGGTGCCCTTGGCAATCAACGCTGGTGACCTTGGACTTCCAGCTGCTGCCGCTTTGCACCTTGGTGTCTCGCAATCAGTGCATGCGGTGGCGAACTACCTCTTCCACGACTTCCGTGGTGCTGCAATCACTGCTGGTCCTCTTGGTCTTCTGCGAAGCTTCTGACGGAGGAGCACTACGTGGAGACCGCATCCTGGACACCATGAATGAGGCTCCAACTGGATCAGGGTCAATACCACTTCAAGAATACCGCCGTGAGATACCGCCGGGGTGGAAGCCAAATGACCCGGCGTATCCACTCCGATCATACTTTGACAGATTGAGGTTGTGGTATCGCATAGCGAACATCCCTGACGAGACCATTGGACCCACCATTGCGGGCAGACTTTATGGAAGGGCCCATAGGGTCGCGATGAGCCTCAGGATGCCACGTCCAGATGGAGGACATGATACTGGAGACGCTGCATTGGTGAGACTTGAAGTTGATGAAGTTAGAGACCCCAATACGGGGATGGTGATTCAAGCTCATGTGCCAAGCGGCGTGCAACACCTGACAGCAGCACTCCGGATGGCTTTTGGCCAACAGGACCAAGACCTTGCCACACAGTCCCTTGAGAAGTTCTTTGGACTTGCCAGAGGACGCTTGTCGCTGCAGGAGTACAGCGTGGAGTTTGATGCACGTTTTGATGAAGCCTCAGACCGTGCTGGACTACAGATGAATGAGGTGGCTCGCTTCTTCCTGTTCTTCAAGCACAGCGGCCTTTCATCAAAACAGGTGGACGACATCAAGCTCCAGGTGGCCGGTGACTTCACGCGCTTTGCAGAAGCCCGAGCACTGGCACTTCGGCTGTCCTCCAACAAGCAGGACAACGAGAACATGGACAGCTACTATGCCCAGGACTACCACCAGGACTATGTCACTGAGGACAACTATGGCGACTGGATGGAGAACGAGATCTACGACTACGATGATGGCCATGACTATGCCTGGTGGGCCGACTATGACGCCTATGATGAAGGTGAATGGATCCTGGACTACGACGACACGGCCGATGCCTACTACCAACAGTACTGGGGTGAAGAGTACTGGGATGCGCAGGAGGAAGAGCAGACAGCTGGCAGCACTGGAGACCCTGAGAAGACCTCCGACAAGACCAGCGAGCATGCTGCCGAGGAGTACTATGGTGGAAAAGGACAAGGCAATGGTGGCTGCTTTGTCTGCGGATCCAAGTCCAAGGACTGTCCGATGTCAAACAACAACAAGGGTTCTGGCAAGGGATCCAATTTTGGCAAAAGTTTTGGAAAAGGAAAAGGGAAGCCCAGTTTTGGAAAAGGCAAGGGCAAGTTTTGGCGATGGAGACCATTCAGAAAAGGTAAGGGCAAAGGAAAAGGCCACTTTGGCCGAGGCAAGTTTGGAGGTGGAAAGAGTTTTGGAAAGCGCCATTGGTTCGCACAGCCCACATCAGTGCGACCTGGCCTGAACATCGTGGATGGCATTCCAGACAGTTCGACAAGGACTTCAAATGCCTCTGCAAGTGCTCAAGAGTTTGCGATCCACACACCGCCAAGTGGCCTTGAGGGTCCCAAGTTTGTGAGGATCTCCACAGCCAACACCGACTCTGGAGAAGAACATCAACAAGTTGCACAGAATGAGAAGAAGCACCTCAACGCCTTCAGCTTTGCCTTCAACTTCTACGAGGCGGCGGACTACTTTGCAGTTCGAGGTGAAAAGAGAAGAGGTCTGATCATAGACCCAGGTGCAGCTTCTGGCTTGATTGGCTGTGACACACTGAAGGACCTCATGGAGCACTGCATCAAGCCCTACGGCAAGGAGATCTCCATCGACAAGAGCATCACCTCTCCTGTGAGCGGCATCAGTGGAGGTTCAGACAGAACCTTGGGCCAAGTGACGATTCCACTTGTGACTGGTGGATGCCCGATCACGTTCACAGGTGAAGTCATAGGAGGTGATGGCAGCATGTGCCCAGCCTTGGTCGGCAACCCATCTTTGCGGAAGATGCACAGCACCATCTTCACCAACTACTTCCAGAATGGTGATGGCCTGCTTGTTTTGGATTCGAGGTCTGATGGCCAAGGAGCTTTGAAGATGCTTCGAATCCTCCTCACAGACTCAGGCCACTACATCTTGCCGACCGACCATGACGCCACTGCCAAGGTATCTATGGAAACCCAGAAGGAGATTGCGGTCTTCTGGAACAGAGTAGCTGATGAAAGCTGCCGGAGATGGAAGGATGCCTGTCCAAAGAAGCTTCACATCTTCCACGCGTCATCTGATGCGGCATCATACGCAGAAGGTGACCGGGGTGAAGCAAAGACCAATGATGATGATGATGATGATGATGGAGCACTATGTCATGATGATCATCAACTTTCTGGACAACAACATGAAGTTCAACTACCTCCTGAAGTATCACATGGCGCTCCCACTGCAGATGACGACATCCTGGACAAGAACAACAAGACTCCTGGCACTTTGCTGAACAAGGAGAAGGACAAGGCTGTGACTGGCACTTTGCCATCTGAAGCTCCAGCCTCAAGCATCAAGTTTCACAACAAGAGCGAAGTCTCTGTCAATTTTTCCGACACGGAATTCATCGCCGACTTGGACTCTGAGCCCAACGGCAAGATTCTTTCTTTTGACAACACCTTGCGTACAGTTTGCACTGATGAAAAGCCCTGCAGTTTCACCAACGACACCAAGGATGACAACATCCAGCACTTCTACACTGAGGAGGACTTTCCTTCCTACACGGGCGACACTTTTCCCGAAGGTTTTGATGATGCACGTCTTCGGAAGAAGTACAAGGCCATTCCTGAGGAGTACTACACTCGCACAGGCCTTAAACCTGTGACGCCCAAGAACTTTCCCAAGTGGTTCATGCAGGCGAAGGGCAAGAAACTACGATGGCATTTTTGGGAAGTCTTTAGCGGCTCTGGACGATTGAGCTTGACCATGCTGATCGCAGGTCTGACAGTTGGATTTCCCATTGACATGCGCTATGGCTGGGATGTTGGAAATGCCTGCCATCAGAAGTATCTTCGCCAAGCACGAGATGAATTTTGCCCTGGTGTCATTCACCTTGCACCAGAATGTGGCCCATGGTCAGTGTCCTCTTCTTCGAAGGATCCAGATCTACGACAAGCTGAACGCCTTCAACAGAAGCCTGCGTTGGACTGGACCGAGGAGACATGTCATGTCCAGTCAAAGCATGGTCGAGGCTATGTGGTTGAACAACCTTGGGGCAGTGCACTTTGGCAACCCGAGACACCACTCGACCTCACCATCAACAGCGACAACAAGAAGAAGCAGAGAGCTGACCAATGCATGCACGGTGCCGAATGTGAAGGCTACCCAGTGCAGAAAGCCACAGGTCTTGGGGCAAACTTCAAAATGCCGAAAACAGCACTTCGCTGTTCTGGGCACAAAGGCACTCCTCATGCTCACCTTCAAGGACAAGGAGCAGATGGCCTGAACCGCACAGCCAAAGCTGCGGTGTACCCCAAGACGATGTGTCATCGACTTCGACAAGACATTGTGAACTTTCTCCACAAGCGAAAACTGTTGCACATCAAGGCCTGGCCTCAAGCTCTGAGTTGGTATGTGGCAGAACACTTCTATGAGTGCACTCGCTGCCAACTTGGACGCTACTGCCCAGATGACATACCACACACTATGATTCCAGGCAAGTGCAGACATGGTCGATATGCAGCTGGCACAAACCCAAGATCCAAGAAGGACAACTCTGCACCAGCTGACCCAGTCAAACAATGGAAAGACAATGCCAACAGAGATGTCTTGGAGGTTGTCGAGATCAAGAACCTTTCTGGCATTGACCTCTCCGTGGACAAGTCCCACTACCTGAAGAAGCTTCTCATGGAGGTGATTCATACATCACTTGGCCTCATTTCAGAAGCTGCCAATCGCAGGATCGACTACGAGCTCTGGGTCGACAATGCACTCTTCATGGAACTGTTCAAGGAGATCTTTTCTGACTTCATGCTGGTGAAGGGTGTTCGGATCTCACTCCGACCATTTCGGAAGTCTGGACCTGAGCCACAACTCACGAAGGCATCTGCATACCTTCGACTTCACATTTGTGGCCATGTCAAGGAGTGGACGATCCAACAAATGGAAGACATCCGAGAAATGTCCATTTCCCAGATCAACGAGAGTTTTGATGTCGACGACTGGATGATCACAGTCTTTGGAGCTGAACAAGGTGGACAACCAGCACCTTCAACACCATCGCACCGACCTCGGTCGAAACCACCTCAACCTGAACTACCTGCACGCCAAGATGACGCAGCACTACTTCCTGAAGTTCGAGAACGTCCTGGACATCCAGAAGAAGGAGAAGCAGCTGAACCTGGCTATGAAATAGAACCCTTCGAAAGCCATGATCGAGCACCTTTGGCACCGATCAGACCAAGCTACAACCTGAAGAAGGTGTTCGACAAGCTGCCGAAACTCCTTGAAGCTGGACATCGAAACCAAGCTCTACGACTTCTGGTTGGCATGCATAAAAGACTCTGGCACACGCCAGTGATGGACTTCCAGAACCTTCTGAAGAAGGCCAACATGCCGCAGGACGTGATCGACTTGGCTGCTGAAGCCGTGAAGAGCTGCGTGGTGTGCCGGAAGTTTGTCAGACTTCCAAATCGACCTCAATTACGTGCTGGTGGCAGCTCCACTTTTGGAGAGACTCTCCAGATAGATCTTTTCCATTGGGAAGGACATGTTTTCCTGCTGATCATCGACGAAGCTACCCGCTTCAAGGTGTGCACTGAACTCAAGGGCCAAGACTCTGAGACCATTTTGGCTGCAGTCTTCTCCAGCTGGATGGCCTACTTTGGTCCGCCAAAGCGGATCGTGCTGGACCAACAGATGTCTTTGATGGGCTGGGACACGGCGCATGAGTTTGAGCGTCTGTCCATTGAACGTTGCCCACGTGGCACAACTCAAGGCCACGGAGCATCTCAGCACACTGGCACTGGCATTGTGGAACGCCACATTCAGCTGTTGAAGATTACGATGTTCAAACTACAAGCTGAACTTCAACGCCAAGGTCTCAATCCAGAACCTGAAGAAGTGGCTCGAGAGTCAGCTATGGCACACAACCAAACCATCAACTACGGAGGAGTCACACCTTGCATGAACGTGTTCGGAGTTCTGCCTCGAGGATTTTACAATCCTGAAAGCCCTGGAGTGACCAGCGTGATTGGAGCTCTGCAGACAGACCTGACGGTCTTTGAGCGTGCTGTGAGGATACGCCAATCAGCACTGGCCCAAACAGCTCAAGCGATCATTGAAGATCGCACTGCACGAGCCAACAGGACTCGACCACATCAGCTGAAGGTCGACGAGTTGATTGCTGGAACCAGTGAGGTTGAATTCTTCCGAGATCAAGTTTGGCGTGGACCTGCTCTCTTGCTTCGGCTAGACCAAGCCGAAGGCATTGCTGTGATCCAATATCAAGGTAAGCCATACCTTGTCAGCCTTCGACACATCAGAGAGTACAAGGGCATCTTCCACTTTGAGATCCAGTCCGAGAATGTGGAACAGGCGCTGTTCTCCCTCATGAAGTACACCGAGAGCATCAGCGACCACAGGATCCTCTACTTTGGCTGGCTGAAACGCCACAAGGATGGCAAGTGGTACAGATTGCCCAAGGAGACGCCTGAAGTTCGGAAGATCATGGAATGGGCTGAACTGGTTTCCAAATCCATGACGGAGTTGACACTCCACGGCATCATGATCGGCAAGGCACTCCGAAACATCAAACCTCCACACAACACCACAGGCACTATGATCATGTGGCTTGCTGGAGGACGGAAATATTCAGTTCAACATCATCCCAACTCCAACAACCTCAAGCTGAAGAAAATCTCCAACTTGGCTCAGGAGGACACATGCATGATCTACTTCTACTACTACAAGACGGCATCGATGGAGCCAAGCTCATCAGAAACCCCTGAGACCAAGAAGGAGAAAACCTCCTCTACTTCAACCTCTCCAGACCTTGACAAGATGGATGTGGAACCACCAGATCGAAAGCGAGACAGCCCAGAAACCAGGACGGTAGTCATTGCTCCAGAGAAGAAGCGACAGAAGATAGCATTGGTCCGAAGAGATCTCAACTTTCTTGAGGACTTCTACATGGACCACACCAAGAACATGCTCATCATTCTGGACTACCCCAACTCTTGGAAGATTGGCTGTAACTTCATGACCCAGGAGATCAAGAACTTCCTGGTGAAGAAACACGATCAAGATCGACGAGCACTACCTGTCCTCTTCAACATCAACTACAAGACTGATCACCATGCACTGGCATGCCTGAGGACATCAGAGATCTACAAGGTGGACCAGGAGACGAACAACATCTCCGAGGCCGATCTGACTCCAGACATTTGGCCTGAAGTTGACAAGGCCGATCTGGCCGAGATCAAACAGTTTGTGGAGGAGTCAGCTTTCAAGAAGATCCACAAGTCGCAGATCACATCAGAGATGGTCGTGGTTGACGCGATCTGGGTGCGGAAGAAGAAACGCTATCCAGATGGTAGCATCCGCATCAAATCAAGATTGTGTGCACGAGGATTTCTTGACGCACAAAAGTCAATGTTGACCACAAGATCTACGACGGCTACCCGTCTCAGCCAGCGGTTGCTGGTCAGCTATGCTGCTCAAGATGAAGAGCGAGACGTGGAGTCTTTGGATGTTGGTGGGGCCTTCCTAAAAGGATTCAGTTTCCAGGAGATCCAGAAGGTGCTTCGAGAACAAGGACATCAAGCTCCTTCGAGGACAGTCATTTTGCTGCCTCCACTGAACGTGTACAAGCATCTTGCGTCTCTGTCAGACGACTTCAAGATCCCTGAGGCGAGCATCTTTGACTACGGTCTCCTATGTGTGAAGCCTGTGTATGGCCTCAACGATGCACCTTTGGCTTGGCAACTTTGTCTCCACGACTTCATCAAGCATCACGATGGACATCCCTCCAAGATGGATGAGAACACTTTCATGTGGAAGAAAGATGAGGCTCTGGTAGCCTTGGCCACCACTCACGTGGATGACATCACACTGACTGCGAGCAAGAACTGGCTGAACACCATGCATGGCCACTTTGTGAAGCGCTTCAACAAGATCACACGCCAGCAACTGCCATTCAACCATTGCGGCTGTTTCTATGAGCGACTTCCTGATGGCTATCGCATCAGTCAGGCTGACTTTGCCAAGAAGCTGGAAAAGGTTAAAATACCTGAGAAAGGCGACTCCGAGAAGCTGACGCCTGCTGAAACTTCAAGCTTGAGATCTATCTTGGGCGCTTTGCTCTGGGTGACTGCCACGAGACTTGATGTGGTGGCAGATGTATCAATCCTTCAAAGCAGAGTGACAGTGGCAGAAATCCGAGACCTGAAGTATGCCAACCAGGTGGTCGACAAGGTGAAAGAGTTCCAAGATGTTGGACTACACTACCGCTTCCTGAAGACCAACAACCTGAGATTGGTGTGCATCCATGATGCTTCTTCAGCGAGCCAAGGACGCCACTATGCTCAAGAAGGACTTCTGATCTGCTTGACAGAAGACAAGTTCCACAACGAGAACCTCAACTACGAGACCATCTTCAACGACGGTGATGGCCCTGACGGCGTTGATCGCCATGGAGGAGTGATGCATGTGCTTCACGCCAGTGGCACAAAAGCCAAGAGGGTGTCTTACTCGACATCTCATGCAGAGACCCTCAGCATGATCAATGGCGTGGAGTCGAGCACTTTGATTTTGGTGCGACTTTCTGAACTACTACATCCAGGAAGAAGGCAACAAGCTGATCCCTGTGGACTACTACGGCGACTGCCGTGATGTCTTTGAATTGGTGACTGGAGAAAGGACGCTTCCTCAAGACAAAGGACAGCGACTCTATGTGCTATCCATCAAGGAAGCGAGGCTGATGGGTAAGATCAGAATGCTGACACTGATTCCAACACAGTGTATGACAGCCGACAGCCTCACGAAGTCAATGATCCATGCAAGCATGCTCCTGCTCCTCACAACTGGCATGATCAAGTTCTTCAACGTGGACAAGCACCATGTCACTTCGAGGATCATGCCCTCGATCAAGGACTACAACGAGCACGACCTGCTGAAGGACGACAAGCAGATGCTGAAGGAGATCAAGGAGAAACCGGAACGAGCTTCAGCAAGCTATGCGACAGTGCTTTGCGGCTTCATGCTCCAGGACAAGATGAACGCTCTATGTCTGTTGGCTTTGACGACATCGTTGCCTACCGCCACAGCCTTGGATGTGCGCTACATCGACGACATCGAGAAGGAGAACACCGCTCCGAGCATGCTCACCTTCTTCTTCCTGCTCTTCTTTGCGGTGGTCTTGGCGCTCTACCTGGAGAAGCTCTTCCGCTACATGCTGGACTATGCCCTGACGCTCCTACGCCGACGTTTCCGACGGCATTGGAAGGTGAAAGAAGAAATCGACGAGACAGCTCCGATGGACGTGGACTCATGGGAGCCAACGAAAACAGAAGAAGACTATGAAGCAGAAATCAGATCCCTCAAGAAGAAACTGCGAAGGCTGAACGAGGACAAGGACGAGCTCTTGGTGACCATCAAGATCAAGGAGGACTGCATCAACAACCTGCAGAACGAGCTCAAGGAAAAGGACATGGAGAACATGTCCGGGGAAGACTTTCGTCAACGACAAGAACGTCAAATTGACAAGCTCGATGTGGAGAAAACAGATGCTGAACGAGCTCGAGACCGTGCCCTGGACGAGATGGACAGAGTCACTTTCGAGCTGGCAAATGCTCAGAAAGAGCTTGTGAAAAAGGAGAATGAACTGGAAAAGGTGCGTGGTCGTTTCGACCGACTGGAAGAGAAGCACAGCAAGCTGGTGGACGATCACGACGAATATCGTGAGACCATTGCTGCATCAGCGCGGCATATCACCTACCTGCGAGAGCGATTGCAGCGCTATGAGACCGTGCATGCTGCTCCACCAGGAGTACGACAGATCGTGCCGAACAGCTCAACACCTACAGCTGCTCCAGCGCCTCCGCCGAGAGACACAGCTGCTGAGGAAGAAAAGAGAAAGATGCAGCAAGAGCTGCAACAGCTGCGAGAGGAAACACAGAAGCTGAAAGAGGAGAACCAAAAGCTGCGCACGGACAAGACCTACAACACCAGCGAGATTGCCAGAATGAGCCGGCAGTTGATAGAAGCCCGTGCACCTGCCACGGTGTATTTCACCAGAGGTGGAAACTGCTATCACAACGATAGCTGCAACCATCTCAAACATGGCCGCGAAGACAGACCGCGGTCAGAGTTACGGAAGTGCAAGGACTGCTTCCCCTGAATGGCGGCATCACCACAAAAGGTGACCGGAGTGAAATTCTCAGGTCATGTGATGTCCCATCCTTTTCAGGTGTCACACACGAACACATGGCCGAATCTGCAGGGCGCCTTTGAGCTATCAAACTGAGTGTATGTATGTATGTATGTATGTATGTGTGTATGTATGTATGTATGTATGTATGTATGTATGTATGTATGTATGTATGTATGTATGTATGTATGTATGCACAGATATTTATACGTATATATGGTCCAGCATTCCAACCCCCCTCCCCCCGGCCATGGTCATGGGTCAGCCATATTACTGTCCCCCTCCCCCCCTGTCCCTGTGGTGTGGTGGGGGTGTGGTACTGTCCCCCTCCCCCCCTGTGGTGTGGTGGGGAGTGTTTGGAATGTATGGTATGGCATGTTTGGAATGTATGGTATGTTTGGTATGTATGGCAGGTATGGTGTGTATGGCATGAATGGTTGGTATTGTATGGATGGTAGGTATGGTATGTAAGTCTGTTGGGTATGGTATGTTTGATATGACAGTATGTATGGTCTGTATGGTATGTATGGTTACTATGATGGGTATGGAATGTTTGCTATGTAAGGTAGGTGTGGTATGTATGGTATGTATGGCGTGTATGTTTGGTATTGTATGTATGGTAGGTGTGGTAATTATGTTTCATATGTATGGCATGCGTGGCATGTATGATAGGCATGATAGGTATGGTATGTATGGTCAAAGTTCGTATGGTATGTATGGTATGCATGGTATCATTGGAATGTATGGTAGGTACGGTATATGTTAAACACATGTAGTGTTGTGAGAGTACACAGGTAGCAAATAGGCAGTAGATACATAGCACATGTATATAAGACTATAGGTAGCACGTAGGTACTTTGAGGGAGTGTGCTAGGTAGGTCGTCTAAAAGGTAGCATGTACCTAGTAAATGCGAGGCTGGTAGTCAGAAATGCTTCAAAGACCTAGCAAATACGAGGCTGCTGGACCTCAGAAATGCTGCCAATAGAAAGGAAGGGGGTGCTGGGAAGGTGCTACCTGGGGACCCATACTATTGGGGGGGGTAGGAACACGGAACACGAGACCACATATATATAATATATAATATATAATATATAATTTATAATTTATAATATATATAATATATATAATATATAATATATAATATATATAATATATAATATATAATATATAATATTTAATATATAATATATAATATATAATATACAATATATAATATATAAAATATAATATATAATAAATAATACAAAATCTAAAATATATAATATATAATATATCATATATGATATATAAGAAATAATATATAATATGTAATATAAAATATATAATATATCATATATAATATATCATATATATAATATATAAGAAATAATATATAATATGTAATATATAATATATATTATATATTATATATAATATATTATATATAATGTATAATATATAATCTACAATCTATAATCTATAATATAAAATATATATAATATATAATATAATATGTAATATACAATATATAATATATAATATATAACATATAATATATTAAATATAATATATCATATATCATATATAATATATTAAATATAATATATAATATATAAAATATAATATATTAAATATATAATTTATAATATATAATATATAATATATTATATAATAATATATATATATATTATAAATATAATATATATATAATATATAATATATATAATAAATATAATACATATATATATTATGTAATATATAATGTATATATAATATATAATGTAAAATATATAATATATAATTCATAATATAAAATATAATATATATAATATATAATATATAATATATAATATATAATATATAATATATAATGTATAATATATAATATATAATATTATATATAATACATTATATATTGTATATTATATGTAATATGCAATATGTAATATGTAATATATAATATAAAATATTTAATATTTAATATATTATATTTAATATATTATACAGTATATAATATATATATTATATATTACATATTACATATTATACATTATATATTATGTAGTATATATTATATATTATATATAATATATAATATATAATATATAATATGAACTATGTAATATATAATATATAATATATAATATATGATATAATATATAATACATAATATGTAATATTTAATATATAATATATTATATATATATAATATAATCGCAACCCCAAAAAAACGCAGACAATTCTTAAAAGCCCACAAAAATAGTGAAAAATTACGGTTCTGAATCATCATATCAATTTAGGGGAGAAACTAAGCCAGTTTTGCCCAAAAAAAATGTAAAATGGACCAAAATGGGGATACCATCACCTCAACCAACATAGACCGTGCTTCTCAGGGTCTATCTTAGTGCGGGGATGGTGTAAACAACCAAAAGATAGAAATGATGGGCCAGATAGATACCGGATGTATTTCATACTTTGATGGGATGAAGATACATGGCTACAAGGACCAAATACGTATGGTCATATAAACCGGCTACAACCAGCCACAAGATCAAATATTCAACTAATTACCAAATATGTTTCAGATGTTGATGGGGATTTGTATGCCCTGCCATGTTTGTATGTACTTGTATACATATATATATATATATAGATGGCATATAGAAATGGCTCAATTGAAGCCAAAAAACGAACGTACCCAGGCAAGTTTGAAAGATTTGGGTGGGGATCATCACCAAATTGCTGATGGCTTTTTGTTGTCCACCATTTTGGGGGACCACCTAGACGTTTAGGAGGCATTTCCCAAATATGGAGGTTTCCATAAATGGGAAATTCCCCACAATGGATGGTTTATATTGGAAACTCCTATCACAATGGATGATTCGGGGGTACTCCTTAGGAAACCTCCATATATCGTGGATCTTGTGTTCACCCATTTCCTGTCCTGCAGGAGGTTTCGCAACTCCGCCATGAACACCTGTCTAAGACGACACTGAAGGGATCCATTGCCTATCTTCCCAACCACTGGATGTTGTTTTGATATATGTTATTAGTAAACTCCAAAGATAGAAACGTGTTCCAAAATGGTATATAAAAATAGTATTTACCTCATATTACCACGTTTCCAACTTTTCTATCTAGTTTGAGGTTGCTATACCTTGTTCCATCCCAAACCTCATGGTGGATGTGTTTTGTGCATTGGTCACATGATTCTGGATGTCCATTGCCTCAATCTCAATCTCTTTTTAAAAAAATCGGCAATTTTGCGGCAAACTCTGCCTTTCCTGCCTTTAGAAGGGGATCTTTAACCATCCCTCCATGTTTCAAACCTTCAGCACCCGGACCTCTGAAGGGTTAGATTCATCAGCTGAAGCAAAAAGAGGACGATCCGACCTGGATCCAAAACGAAAGCTTCGAAAAATGAAACTGGCCACAAGAGAATGATATGTATATAGATGTAGATATAAATATGGATATGGATATATCTGAATATGGAGAATGATATTTATATCCATATGTAGATGTTGATATAAATGTGGATATAGATATCAATATCGATATGGATATGGATATAGACACACAGACATATATATACTGTACGGTACAACAAAACAACTGGGGTCAATCCCGCTTTGCTTGCAAATAAAATACTACAGTGCTAATGAGGAATGCACAATGCCTCAATGCCAAAAACCATCCCCCGGTTGCAGGATTCCTTGCGATTGGGAACCTCCGACTAATCGTTGGGGATGGTGGCACTGGCATTGGCTGGATCCCATATTGTACAGTGCCAACTGGGAACACCAGCAACTCATGCTTCAATCGTTCATTCTTGCGCAAAGCCTGGTCAGCGGAGCCCTTGGGTGGTAAGCTTTGGCTCAAACTATGATGGCAGGTCAGATTTAGGTTTTGTTTGGGTGTAGATCGTGGAAATGTGAGCGGGGAAACAAATTACCAGACTCACCTTGGGTTACATCACAAAAAAAAAAGTACCCCCCATGACCAACCAGTTCATGGTCTCTGCTCGAAAAGGACTTCTGCGTTGCAACGGGGGTATCCCACTGTCATCCTTTGGATCGGTTTCTATCCTCGCTGGTTGGGGTCTCCATGCTGGACTGCTCATCAACCAAACCAAACCTCTGTGTCAAGACATTATGATCATCCATCATCATTATTATCATCCTTACAACGCTTGTATCAAGAAAAAACGAATGGAGTCATTCTTCCCATCAGGGTTGATCTCTCGACCTCTCCCGGTCACCTCATCACAGCTCCCCAAGGTCACTCGCCCGTTCTTTCGCACCTCCAAGGTCTTTTCTAAGGCATTACTGCGCAGAAACTGCGCCTGCCAGGAAAATGGCCCGGCAATGTTCGACAACAATTTGTGAACCAAAAAATTATGTTGATCAGTGGAACCAGAATTGTAAAAAATGTTACCTGGGTCAATATGAAGTGAATCCGAAAATCTTATGTATGTATGTATATATATATATACATAGACATATAATATCATATAATCATGGATTTTCAAATAGAAAGGGGGATGTTACCATCCCAGAATCTTTGCTTTTCAGTGACCGTTGGCAGGGAAGCTCATGGATCTGTACCCTCCGCTTGAGGTGTCCTGTAATTTGCCAATCATGGTATGGCTACAGATGATCAGAAGCCATAAAACCTCATTAAAACCTCACAAAACAATGACACCACACTGGACCATACTAGAAAATTTGCCAAACATCCTGAGAAAAACACCATGGACCGAGCTGTCACAGGATTGGGGTGATCCGAATCCACCTTGAAAGATGGAGCAGTCTCATCTTGCCGCGTGCGCCGTTTCAGGGCCTCGGTGATCGTTGGTGGAACCACCAAGCATCTGTACTCAAAGGTGGCTGCAAAATCTCCAATGTTGTCGATGATTTTACCAACTAAACCTCCATTTACTTCACGGATTTTCCAGCCATGTTAGATTGCCTAATTATAGTCATCATCTCTGGGGTAATTAGGGATGAATCAACTCCATCTATATATAGCATCTATATTTTCCCATTAAATTGCCTTTTTTATTACACACGTTTGTTTGCTCTTGAAAAATGATCCTCTCAATCAGCTGGCCTGATTCCAGCGCTGCAAAACTTCTTGCGCCTTGCAAAAAATAGGCTGCAACATGGCTACTGGGAGGATCATCCCCCGGATCGTAACTGGATGTAACTGCTTGGTAACCATAGTCAGTTGGCAGTGTGTCAAAACCTTGTACCCCTGGTGAACATCAAAATAGCTGGTAAATGGATGTTCATCCCACTAAAAATGGTACTTATAGGTATTGACCCATAGCCAGTTCCAATCCATGTACTGAAAAAATGGCTTATATACCAACCATTTACGATCCGTAGGATCATCCTCCAAGTCGGCAACTACAGTAGTAGTGGGGCGACTTGAACCCCAATCAACTTCCGGGGATGGCGATTTCCATAGCCACTGAGCCACTGATCTCTGGCAACAATGGGTTTAACAACCACAGAACCAGAGAACATGAGTGGCAGTTGGAAACAACAAAAATTGGGATGGCAAAAATCTGAAACACCTGAAAGAACCTGCTCAAATGCACCTTGGCCAGATGAGCGAGGAACAAAGCCAGAGATATCAATCCGGTGTTCGTGAGAAAATACTGTAGACCATGTTCCGTAACTGCAAAGTTGTTTCCCCGCAAATAACTCATTGATTTGCCAAAGAAACTCCCAACAAAATGCATCCCCATCAATCCATGTCACCATGAAACTGACATGAATTTCATCGAAGTGGCCTCGATCAAAAGCAACTTTTCCAGGCTCTTGGCTTCTTCCTGACCCAGCAGACTTGACCATCCCACATCCCAGTCTTTCCCAGTCCCACTTTCCCAGTCATGGTGTGGTTTTTTGAATCCCGGAAACCCATGTTTGCCGCCATGTTTGCCGCCATGTTTGCCATGTTTAAGTCATGTTTGGTTCATTCCAGAAACCATGTTTTGGTGAATTGCATAGCCCATTGGTCGTTGGTTTGAACAGCCAATTCTTGTCTTCAACCCTCATGTTGGGGTGATTAAATCTCCGCATTTCATAGGGAAAAGGGGACGTGGTTGGTCCTCAACCAGCTCCCCCTAAGTGAATCCAACCTTCCTATAGATCCATGGGGGTCCCCTGCTGTCCACATCAAAATCGCTGCTGTTCACGGGATGTTGATCCCCGAGTTCATCAAAGGAAACCATACATGGTTTCCACTCATTCACGGCTATGGATTATGTGATAGTTAAATTGATTAAGTATCGTAAACCCCAATATCTTGGGCAACTATGAGCCATTCTTAGCGCCCAAGTGTCAACCCATTTGGATTTCTGTTCAATGTCCTCCAGTTGCAGGACACTCTGCTCCGTTTGCGCGGCAATCTTGGCCAGGTCCGGCAGATCAATCTGCAGCAAAAGTTTCGATTGTTTCACCGAGATCGAGGTGAAATGGACCCAAACTGAGGATTCAGGTAGCTCACCAACAAACACTACAACCTGTTGAGATTTCAGCAAAAAGAGCGTTTCACCTGTCAAGACTAGGTGAACAAGGGCCCACAACCCGCAGGCATGGCTTTCCAGGCTATGGTTTGCCTCGTCGAAACGCCTCGCCTGAGGAAGAAACGGGAAGCCACAGCAAGACTTCACGAGACAAGTCATGAAGACATTGCAGATTGCCCCAATTGAAAAAAAATAATATGCTTCGGTGGTATCCCCAACAGCCGCAACGTTTATTTCTGCGAAGCCAAGCGCTGGCCCGGAGCCTTTTCCGGAACATTCTCCGGAACTTCTCCGGAACCCTATTGAACCTAACCTGGCTCTGCACCAAAGCCTCCCGGAACCTTCTCCGGAACCTTCTTCGGAACCCTGTTGAACCTGACCTGGCTCTGCACCAAAGCCTCCCAGACCTTCTCCGGCACCTTCTCCGGAACCCTGTTGAACCTCACCTGGCTCTGCACCAAAGCCTCCCAAACCTTCTTCGGAACCCTGTTGAACCTGACCTGGCTCAGCACCAAAGCCTCCCGGAACTTTCTCCGGAACTTCTCCGGAACCTTATTGAACCTACCCTGGCTCTGCACCAAAGCCTCCCGGAACCTTCTCCGGAACCTTCTTCGGAACCCTGTTGAACCTGACCTGGCTCTGCACCAAAGCCTCCCGGAACCTTCTCCGGAACCTTCTTCGGAACCCTGTTGAACCTGGCTCTGCACCAAAGCCTCCCAGACCTTCTCCGGAACCTTCTCCGGAACCTTCTCCGGAACCCTGTTGAACGTGCACCAAAGCCTGCCAGACCTTCTCCGGAACCTTCTCCGGAACCTTCTCCGGAACCCTCTCCGGAACCCTGTTGAACGTGCACCAAAGCCTGCCAGACCTTCTCCGGAACCTTCGGAACCTTCTCCGGAACCTCGTTGAACCTGACCCGGCGCCTGCACCAGTGCACACCGGAGCTATTCTGGGCTGAAGACCCCATTAGCTAGCTTACGCTGTTGGGGAAAAAAATAAAAAGGATATGAGATCACCAACACCAACGAGAACAAGTATCAAATGCGATACTTAACCTATTTAACCTCAACCTTTCAAAATATTCTGGCAAAACCATGTCCCAGTGCTGCATGGCCGCGGCCAACGGCACGGGGACCGAACCGAACTTGGTTTCTTTGAAGTCTTGGGCCTAAGCGGCTGATCCAGAGCAGGAGGAAAGAGGGGATGCCCATAGTGGATTACGATCATCATGTGCAAGCTAATATCTATAGCCATGAACCAGCATTTACCAAATCAATGATAGATTATAAGATGTAAATACAACTATATACTCTGAAGTACATATGTGTATGTATATATATATACCTTTCATAATATCTTCAGTTTTGAAGGTTGATGAAATTTATCCAAGTCCCCTGGAGCTCGCTTTCGCTGAATCCTGGAGCTGGGCCGCATTTCGCACAAGGAGTCGCTTTCTTTGCTCAGACCCACCACACGCAAGAAGGACCTCAAGATCCACCCGGTGAAAATAACATATACCCAGCGAATCAGTCGGTTTCTTAGGTATCATGTGTTCATATGCATGCATGTATGTATGTATATATGTTTGTATGTATGTATTATATACATATATACATATATACATATATACACATATACACATATACACATATACACATATACACATATACATATCCGCCGACCCCAGCAATCTGCAGGGGGAGCGCGCCCGAGAAAAAGCTTTTCCAGGATTCTGGGCGCTTTCCAAGAGCTTTTCTAGTGGCTTCAGAAAGCAACGTTAGGCACTAGCCTGCCTCCAAATGCCTCGCGGCGCCCTTGCCACGCTTTCCAAGAGCTTTTCTAGTGGCTTCAGAAAGCAACGTTAGGCACTAGCCTGCCTCCAAATGCCTTGCGGCGCCCTTGCGAAAGGCTGTTGCTGCATTCTGGGGGCAGTAGCCTGGCTTGAGGCTTTTGCGGCATTCTGGGCGCTTTCCAAGAGCTTTTCTAATGGCTTCAGAAAGCAACGTTAGGCACTAGCCTGCCTCCAAAGGCCTCGCGGCGCCCTTGCCACGCTTTCCTGGAGATTTTCTTCTGGTTTCAGAAAGCAACGTTAGGCACTAGGCTGCCCCTAAACGTCTCCCGGCGCCCTTGGCCACCTGCCGGGCGCTTTCTTGGAGATTTTCTTCTGGTTTCAGAAAGCAACGTTAGGCACTAGGCTGCCCCCAAACGTCTCCCCGCGCCCTTGGCCACCTGCCGGGCGCTTTCCTGGAGATTTGCTTCTGGTTTCAGAAAGCAACGTTAGGCACTAGGCTGCCCCTAAACGTCTCCCGGCGCCCTTCCCGGCCCCCTTGGCGGCCCAGCAGCATGTCCTTTGGCCACCTGCCGGGCGCTTTCCTGGAGATTTTCTTCTGGTTTCAGAAAGAACGTTAGGCACTAGGCTGCCCCTAAACGTCTCCCGGCGCCCTTGGCCACCTGCCGGGCGCTTTCCTGGAGATTTTTTCTTCTGGTTTCAGAAAGCAACGTTAGGCACTAGGCTGCCCCTAACTCTCCCCGCGCCCTTGGCCACCTGCCGGGCGTCTGAAAGCAACGTTAGGCACTATGCTGCCCCAAACCTCCCGGCGCCCTTGCCACCTGCCGGGCGCTTTCCTGAGATTTTCTCTGTTTCAGAAGCAACGTTATGCACTGGCTGCCCTAAACGTCCCGGCGCCCTTGGCGGCCCAGCAGCATGTCCTTTGGCCACCTGCCGGGCGCTTTCCTGGAGATTTTCTTCTGGTTTCAGCTTTGGCAACTAGGCTGCCCCTAAACGTCTCCCGGCGCCCTTGGCCACCTGCCGGGCGCTTTCCTGGAGATTTTCTTCTGGTTTCAGAAAGCAACGTTAGGCACTAGGCTGCCCCTAACCGTCTCCCGGCGCCCTTGGCCCCTGCCGGGCGCTTTCCTGGAGATTTTCTTCTGGTTTCAGAAAGCAAACGTTAGGCACTAGGCTGCCCCTAAACGTCTCCCCCGCGCCCTGGCCACCTGTCGGGCCGCTTTCGTGGAGATTTTTTCTTCTGGTTTCAGAAAGCACGTTAGCCCTAGGCTGCCCTTAAACCTTTTTCCCGGCGCCCTTGGCGGCCCAGCAGCATGTCCTTTGGCCACCTGCCGGGCGCTTTCCTGGAGATTTTCTTCTGGTTTCAGAAAGCAACGTTAGGCACTAGGCTGCCCCTAAACGTCTCCCGGCGCCCTTGGCCACCTGCCGGGCGCTTTCCTGGAGATTTTCTTCTGGTTTCAGAAAGCAACGTTAGGCACTAGGCTGCCCTTAAACGTCTCCCGCGCCCCTTGCGCCCAGCAAGCATGTCCTTTGGGCCACCTGCGGGCGCTTTTCCTGGAGATTTGCTTCTGGTTTCAGAAGCAACGTTAGGCACTAGGCTTCCCTAAACGTCTCCCGGCGCCCTTGGCGGCCCAGCAGCATGTCCTTTGGCCACCTGCCGGGCGCTTTCCTGGAGATTTTCTTCTGGTTTCAGAAAGGCAACGTTAGGCACTAGGCTCCCCTAAACGTCTCCCCGCGCCCTTGGCCACCTGCCGGGCGCTTTCCTGGAGATTTTCTTCTGTTTCAGAAAGCAACGTTAGGCACTATGCTGCCCCCAAACGTCCCTTCCCGGCGCCCTTGCCACCTGCCGGGCGCTTTCCTGGAGATTTTCTTCTGGTTTCAGAAAGCAACGTTAGGCACTAGGCTGCCCTAAACGTCTCCTTGCGGCCCACAGCATTCCTTTGGCCACCTGCCGGGCGCTTTCCTGGAGATTTTCTTCTGGTTTCAGAAAGCAACGTTAGGCACTAGGCTGCCCCTAAACGTCTCCCCGCGCCCTTGGCCACCTGCCGGGCGCTTTCCTGGAGATTTTCTTCTGGTTTCAGAAAGCAACGTTAGGCACTAGGCTGCCCCTAAATGTCTCCCGGCGCCCTTGGCGGCCCAGCAGCATGTCCTTTGGTCACCTGCCGGGCGCTTTCCTGGAGATTTTCTTCTGGTTTCAGAAAGCAACGTTAGGCACTAGGCTGCCCCTAAACGTCTCCCGGCGCCTTTGGCCACCTGCCGGGCGCTTTCCTGGAGATTTTCTCCTGGTTTCAGAAAGCAACTTTAGGCACTAGGCTGCCCCTAAACGTCTCCCCACGCCCTTGGCCACCTGCCGGGCGCTTTCCTGGAGATTTTCTTCTGGTTTCAGAAAGCAACGTTAGGCACTAGGCTGCCCCTAAACGTCTCCCGGCGCCCTTGGCGGCCCAGCAGCATGTCCTTTGGCCACCTGCCGGGCGCTTTCCTGGAGATTTTCTTCTGGTTTCAGAAAGCAACGTTTGGCACTAAAACGTCTCCCGGCGCCCTTGGCCACCTGCCGGGCGCTTTCCTCGTTAGGCACTAGGCTGCCCCTAAACGTCTCCCGGCGCCCTTGGCGGCCCAGCAGCATGTCCTTTGGCCGCCTGCCGGGCGCTTTCCTGGAGATTTTCTTCTGGTTTCAGAAAGCAACGTTTGGCACTAGGCTGCCCCTAAACGTTTCCCGGCGCCCTTGGCCACCTGCCGGGCGCTTTCCTGCAGATTTTCTTCTGGTTTCAGAAAGCAACGTTAGGCACTAGGCTGCCCCTAAACGTCTCCCCGCGCCCTTGGCCACCTGCCAGACGCTTTCCTGGAGATTTGCTTCTGGTTTCAGAAAGCAACGTTAGGCAGTAGGCTGCCCTTAAACGTCTCCCGGCGCCTTTCTTCTGGTGTCAGAAAGCAACGTTAGGCAGTAGGCTGCCCTTAAACGCCTCGCGGCGCCCGAGGCTGCCCTGCAACCGTGCCCGGCGCCTTTGGCGGCCCAGCAGCATGTCCTTCGGCTACCTGCCGGGCGCTTTCCTGGAGATTTTCTTCTGGTTTCATTTCAGAATAGTGCCCTTAAACCTTCCCGGATCTTCCCGGCGCCCTTAGTATGCTGCCCTTAAACCCTTCCCGGTGCCCTTGGCGGCCCAGCAGCATGTCCTAGCCTATGCTTCTTTCTTTTCCTCGCACTTCCAGCTCCTCTGTGTGCACGGGCGTCCCGCTGGCGTGTTGTGCTGCACGCGGATTCGCCCCGACGCGCAGGCTGACCACACGGCCGCTTGGCACCGCGGGCATGTATGCATATGTTTTCGCGTTGCATCGCTGACTTTGCCTGTCTTTACATAGAACCGGCTGCCGCACACGCTGCCATGGTTGACTTGCCCAGTCATCACGCTGCTGCTCACTTTGCCATCGCAAAACGGGCACTGGTACACCATCTTCTTTGCCACGACGCATCCGTCTTTGACCTGAAATCGGTTGCCACAATGCCTGCGGTGATCTACTCGGCCAGAACGCACACTGCTGCTGACGGCGGCCTCACAAAAGGGGCACGTGTAGTGGCATGTGTCGTCCGTGTTCTCTTGGGGACCGCACGCGGGAGGCAACTTGTGCGGGGCGCCCGCGCCACTTGCCGCTCGCGCGAGCCCTTCGCGACCTGCGTTTGCGGCCTTCTCCGGTAACCCCATCGCGCCAGGTGTTGCCTGCGCGCTCGTCTTTGCCCTCCGTTCGGTTATTGCCGCTATTTCGCGTCGGACGTCCTCAACAATGGATTGCTCGCGCTCCCTCTGGAGGCGGTGCCGCAACCGCAGCACGCGTTGGTTCGCTCTGCGAGCGACGCGACAAACCAACGCCAATGACACGCACGTGTTGCATTGTTGCGTGCCAACTTTTGTTTCGAGTGATCGCGCCGTAACTTATATTATATTATATTCTATTATATATTATATTATATTATACTATATCAATTATCCGCCGACCCCGCTTGCAGCAGGGGGAGCGTGTCAGAGGAGGAATTACCAGCAGCAAGGGCCAAGAAGTCATTACAAGCAGCAAGGGCAAGAAGCAAGAAAACAAGAAAGAAGAAGCAAGAAGAAAGAAGGAATTACAGGCAACAAGCGGCAAGAAGCAAGAAACAAGAAGCCAGGAAGCAACAAGCGGCTGGAAGACAGGTCAGAGAGCTAGTTTTCTTGTCGATTCAGAAAGCAACGTTAGGCAGGCGGCTGGAAGACAGCTCAGAGAGCTAGTTTTCTTGTAGGTTCCAGAAGCAGTGAGAGCCGTGGCCCGCAGGCCCGGTCCGTCCCTCAGGGCCCTGCTGTTTTGGTGTGGCGAAGGCGCCGTTTGTGAGGCTTTTGGCGGCAGGAAGACAGCTCAGACAGCTAGTTTTCTTGTAGGTTCTTTGATTTCAAGTTTCATACAAATGGTTTGTTTAAGTCAGTTTCTGGTTTCTTTAGAGTTCATTTCATGCTTACGACACGGAGGCAGGCATGACCCTCCAGTGTCCAGGGGTCGGCGGCAGAGGGCGTAGCCCTTTAATATACATATATACATATATGCATATTTACATATATACATATATACATATGTACATATATACATATATACATATATACATATGTACATATATACATATATACATATATACATATACATATATATATACATATATACATCTATACATATATATATACATATACATATATATATACATATATACATACATATATATATACATAATTGATCATAATTGTATGATACATGTCATACATATTCATACATTGTACATTACACCTTATGCATTATGATAGATGTCATTGTCTGATTTTAACAGCCCCTCTGCAAGGTGGGGACTTGGGCTTCCCAACTCCATTTGCGGACCACATGCAATAGGGCCCCAGCTGCATCAACGTCCGCAGAAAACAAGCAAAAAGAGATCTGTAAGTTTCATTCAAAAACAAAAGAAATGTTGAAATGTCCGAAAAGGTTGGTCATGAATTTCCCATGAAGACTCTGAAGCTTTCATTATAAGCCTCAACAATCCAAATATTATATACAACAATTGTACCTGGAAAAAAAACGGGAAGATGTCGTGATCGTCTGGTCCCCCAAAATTCCAGTTTCCTGCGACCCTTGATCCAACAGCATGTCATCTCTATCTGGCTGGGTGCGCAAACAGCTCCATGCCTAAAATCAACCAGCTCCATGATGACATGAGAAAGTAAAGCCTGGAAGTTTGGATGGATACATATGGGAGGTTCCATAAATGGGGAGGAGCCCCATAAAAAATCCATTGAAAAATGAGTTTTTTCCCATCATCCATTTTGGGGTGCCCCCCATTGATGGAAACCCCCTGGGAAAAATCCTGACAACTCCGTAGGGCGCATCTCAGCTTTTTAACTGGCGCTTCAAGTTCGAGTATGGCTTGCATCACCGGAGATATCATAGTGACGCCACGTCAGTGTGATGTACTAAGTCCTGGAAAAATGTGGATCCCCCAATCACCTTTAGAAAAGAACCATGGTCTTGTTTCCTTGCCAAGAAATCCAAGTTGATGGATATCACCGTGCGCCAGCGTTGTGTAAGGGATGTCGGTGGGCAAAACCGCGCGATGCGGTTCACATCGCAGGTCTCACGTTCGGTGAATAGAAACATGGCAGGGGCAGCATTGGCCAACAGAACCAACGGCCACAAGACAAAGGTGTTGGACCGGTGCTAGGAATTGGCAAAAAGATGACCCATCTTAGATGACTGAAATTTCAGGGAAATCTGAATCAGAAACTGTCTTTTCCCGCAGCTGTTGGCCAAAACTGCCTTCGACCATTGTTTCAGGGCATATGTCAGGGGATCACATCGTAGCAGGGAAGCAGCTTGGTGCTGGGTCCAACTGCGCAGTAAAGAACAAATCTGTGGTTCCAAAAAAAGTAATTGATTGGCGCATATTTCTGAACTGATCGTCAATAATCCTGTTGAATCTGTTAATCAAGATGAAGCTACAAACAATGTCAGAGCTGAGGCAAAGGAAGATGTCAGCCATTTTGCTGCATTCAGAAGCTTGACCTCCGACCTACGAATCCTTGGTTGTTCAACAGGTGCGGAAAAAATCAACAGCAGATTGTTACTTTTCTGGGGGTGACCCCCTCTAATCTAGAGCTTGACACCAAACATGTTGTTGGAACCACATCGTAACATGGACAGGTCGCTGCCGGACAGACAGTTCCGGCTTCACCGGCGCCGACTTAAGGCTTCTGGCCCTTCAGTTTGCAACAAACAACCCACTGTCCGACGCAAAGATCCGCAACTGATCTGATTTCAGTTTGGAAAGAATGGTAAAGATTGGTAAAGTAGCAAGTATATATCCTCCCTCACACATCAGAGAGGAGAGCCGCAAGCCATCGTTGAAGACACCCTAGATCACCTTCTTTGAAGGCAGCAAAAAAGCAGCCAACGTCCGCGCAACACGGAAGTCGAACCATGGTGTCGCAGCATTGAAGATGTTCAGAAGAGGGGCCTTTGGAAGATCTGATAACTGTAGTAGCTGGATATCATCTGGCAATTTTCAGCCAAGTAGCCATCCCAAAGAAAGATGTACTGAACTGGCATCATCATTCATCTTCTGCCCTCCCCGGAGCGTTGATTAAGGCTTCCGCAATACTGTGCAATACTCTATCATCATTCCCGCGGAATCAGTACATAGCAAGAAAGAAAACGATGGAAAAAGTTGGAAACCTGATTCCGACGGAACAATCATGCATATATGATCTTCTGAGAACAACTCTTCTATCTATTGAGAGATCCTAAGACCCATCTCTACGCCGTCCTCACAACCCCGTCCAACATCTTCCAGTCATGGGCAAGGCCACATTTCGTCACCCCAGCTGCCCATCAGACTTTAAAAAAAAACTGCGTGTTCCCAACCTGTGTGCGGACCTCAATCCCACGGCCATGTTGAAAAAGGCATTGAAATGGCCATGTAAATTCTGTTTCACCATGGTAAAGTTGCTTCCGGGATTCATGTTGTGTGGTCATCCCACCACTATGAAAGGGAATCCTTAGAATGGGTATCTGAACCATTATTGATGGGGGGGAAGACCACCGCCCAAGAAGAACGTGTGACAATCCAATCATGGAAAGAGAATCCATCTGCCACAAGACATGTGGGTTGATTGTGGCCCGTTCACGCATCATCAACTCGCATCGTCGGGATCACTGAAGCTGGCAGCTGTTTGGTATGTCTCAAAACCTGATTGTTACCATCCCAAAAGTGTGGCGTCCCGTCACCCTTAAATCCAGAAATTTGTGACCTGTTTTAGGGTATTCTATACCAACTGGGAAACACCCACCTGTCTCTAGTATACCACAGTCGGATCGATTCTGACGCCATGGTCAAAGGTTGGGAGTGACAACCGAAATGATAAACATCCCGCAGCTACAGGTTGCTACAGGTTGCTTCTTTCATTTTACTGGGATTCCAACTAACAAAAATGAAGATGTACATGGAAACCCCACAGCTAGTGGCTGGTACGGAATTCCATTAAGAGCCACTCAACCTTATTCAGCGTCCATTATTGGAATTATTGGTCACCTTTGGTGTCTTTGAAATGTCATGGAAAAAACATCATTTTTCGAAACAATATCTAATGTCATGGAAAAAAATAATCTTAAATCATCGCCATAGAAACAAATCTAAATCTGACAGCGACTCAGCTAGTCACACCTCAGGAATCTTCAGGACTTCTGCAGTCTCCATCGCTGAGGTTCCGCCTCGCCGGGCTCGGTTGTTGACCTGGCGACTGGTGGCTGTTGGTCCGAAAAATGATGGGAAAGCCTTGGAACATCCGTGGGAAATATCCAAGAGTTTATGGAAAATGATGGAAAATTCAAGTGACTGTGGAAAACCATGGAAAAATCATGGAAAATCTAAGAGTTTATCGGAAATTATGGAAAAATCATAGAGAATCCAAGAGTTTATGGAAAATAATGGAAAATCCAAGAGTTTATGGAAAATCATGGAAAATCATGGAAAATCCAAGAGTTTATGGAAAATCATGGAAAAATCATGGAAAATCCAAGAGCTTATGGAAAAATCATGGAAAATCTAAGACTAAGAGTTTATCGAAAATTATGGAAAAATCATAGAGAATCCAAGAGTTTATGGAAAATCATGGAAAACCTAAGAGTTTATCGAAAATTATGGAAAAATCATAGAGAACCCAAGAGTTTATGGAAAACCATGGAAAAATCATGGAAAATCCAAGAGCTTATGGAAAAATCATGGAAAATCTAAGAGTTTATCGAAATTATGGAAAAATCATAGAGAACCCAAGAGTTTATGGAAAACCATGGAAAAATCATGGAAAATCCAAGAGCTTATGGAAAAATCATGGAAAATCTAAGAGTTTATCGAAATTATGGAAAAATCATAGAGAACCCAAGAGTTTATGGAAAACCATGGAAAAATCATGGAAAATCCAAGAGCTTATGGAAAAATCATGGAAAATCTAAGAGTTTATCGAAATTATGGAAAAATCATAGAGAACCCAAGAGTTTATGAAAAACCATGGAAAAATCATGGAAAATCCAAGAGCTTATGGAAAAATCATGGAAAATCATGGAAAATCTAAGAGTTTATCGAAAATTATGGAAAAATCATAGAGAATCCAAGAGTTTATTGAAAATCATGGAAAAATCATGGAAAATCCAAGTGACTGTGGAAAATTATGGGAAAATCACGGAAAATCCAAGAGTTTATATCTAGTTCATCATGGTCTTCATGAAAAATATATGCCGGCCATGGTATGAAAAGGAAACTGGGTGAAATCCCCCATCTTCACAATCCTTCCACGCCTGAAACAGTCTTCTTTGGTGGTGGTGTAAAGATCGACAGGGTGGAAGCACGAGTCTCCTGGAGCATCCTTTTGGAGCTTTCCGATAGCTGGAGCTACCCCGATAGCTGGATGGTTTTCCATGGGAAAATCCAATCAATGAATGATCAATGGGGTACCCCATGACTATGGTAACCCCAATCTGAAAAAAATGGGCCAACTTGGGCGCTGTCCATTTCTGTCCATTTCTGAAAAACCTTTCAGTTCGCATTTGCTGCTGGGTCAATGTTCAACCAGTGGTACATCCCCCCCTTACATCCAAAAATCACCATTCACAGCATTCACAGCTCAACTTTTCGATGTCCATTCACCGATTCCGACCCATTACCGACCCATTCTGTCCATTCTGTGAATCTCGGTCCTTCGGCTGAGTGATTTAGTGAACATTTCCCAGATCCAAGAAGCGCTTCAGTTCGCCCTGCCGAGGATTGGGGTTAGAACCTGATCTGCTTGGGTTACCTCTGGAAATGGTGATGTGTAAATTCCCAGGTTGAATTACCAAAGGCTACCCCGCAAGTAGACTGGTGAAAGCTTTAAAACAAGATGTTGAAGCATGGCTTTGGAAATATGGAAACGGCCATATTTCATTGCCGTTTCCGGATTACATTTCATAACCTGGGATCTTCACTTAATGCCACCCCCTCCAACGATGTCAACGATGTGTCAAGGTGCACCATACTGGGTGCCAAGCGAACCTGGGGAGATTCGCAGTTCTGTCATCATGTGGCCCATCTTTGGCACAATATTTCCAAGCAAAGGGATTCCTGATCATGCTTTTGCTGTACTGCATTCCCAACACCCAAGCAGATATCTAATCTACTGAAGTACAAATCCCTGGTACCCTGCGGTTACCAAAATTCCTTGGATTGATGTTCATCCCGGAATCAACAAAAAATGGAAAAAATCGATGGCTTTTGAAGAGACCCATATCCAATATCCATTCCCAACAGTAACCAATCAGACTTTCTTTTCCCCAGTGCCCCATCAGTTCCAGCCTTTTGAACCATTGCGCTTGGCCGCGGGGTCATTTTCTGGCGGCGAATAATTTTGAAAAATCAGGGGAAGCTAGGAATGGCCTTCAGCTCCAGAGTTGGGGACGACCTAAACCCTCTGGTAAACTAACAGTTTGCTTAAAAAAATTGCCATTTAGTTCGTTGATTCACCGATTTACCCATTAAAAAATGGATGATTTTCCACAGTTAGGTTCGTTTAGCAGGGAAGGTAGATTGACATGTTCTTCATGGTGATGGAGACTTGACCATTTTGAACGCCGTGGTCGACTTTCTGGCTTCAAACTTGGCTAAGACTTAGATCTTACCACGATTGCTTGAAAAAAAAAGTATATGTGGGAGCCTCTGGTGATCATTTCGGATTTCTTTGAAGTAGATGTTTCAATAAAATTCAATAAATAGATCTGGTTTCCCCCAATTCTTGGTATCAAATTTCATGATGACATGGCAAAAATCCCCCATGAAATTTCCATGGCTCATCCCATCGGACCTCCGGAGGGAGGATCTTTTCCAGACTCACTTCCACAAACTCCAAGCGATCCTGGAGCCAAAAAACCTCAGATGCCATGGCACCATGGCACCATGGGGCCTGGGAAAACCCATGGGAACTTCGGGGGAAATTTGGCTTCAGTTAAAATGACAAGGGAGACAAGAAAATTACAACCATGAGATAAGTCTCAAGAATGATATGTTTGAAGCAACAATAGTAATATTGACATTCATAGTATCATTAACAATTCTATTTACATCAATCTTAATAATTACTCATAATGCTAGTAATTGATAAGAATGATAATAATTCATAGTCACCATCACCATCATAATGATCATCATGACAACAATTGTAACCACAATAAAGTAAAGAAAGGATATGTAGTTAGCAAAAATAGTGCGGAAAATGAAGGGAATCAACCCTTAAAGGTGATCTTCGATGCAGGATGGGACAACATTGGTGAAACCTCCATGTCATGTGTTGCAATTTCACCACCACCAGTCACCATCCACCATTAATGCTTATCATCCATGTTCGAGGTTGATTCAATCCCTATGTTGGCTGCTTAATGTCTAGGTGTATCCCCGTTTTTGGAAGAGACTAAACAACAATTCCGATCCTTAACTCCCATGTTCCATGTTCACTCCTCCATTCCAAAGTTTCACCCATTGATCCATTGATCATCTGATGAAATTGATGAAGCCTGAAGCCATTTTGGTCGCTTCTGAAGCTCCCAGTTGGATTCATTTGGGACATCCGAGCCCCGAGCCATGCGTTTGGTCATGTAGATTAGGGTCGCCATATCGATGGCCTTCGCTTGGCCCCGCAGCCGCAAGCAGCCCTGGATGAACTCCTGCGTCAGGGAGAAATTGTCTGATATCTTTACAGGTCATGGCACTATCACCTTGATAATAATTATTATTGTTATTATTATTGCTATTATATATATATATATCATTATTACACTATGACGATAATGATGATGATGATGAGGATGATGATGATGATGATGAGGAGGAGGAGGAGAAGGATGTGGATGGGTTAAGCCAACAGTATCGCATAGCGACACCAGGGTGGGATGGTTTTGATGCAACACCATTTAGATTTCAGCAACGATCCGAACCTGTGGGCCGAGATGTTCCGAAATTTGACCCGTAAGTTCCAACTCAACTTCTAGGGTTCTCAAGGGATGGTCGTGAGTTTTCTGAAGCGAGGCTTTGCATCTTTTTGTAGATATGTCTGTCGACATGTCACAGCTATTCACTCAGATTCTTATTTTGGTTCCCCTATTTTCCCCTGCTCCCACAGTTTCTGGATCTTCATTGGTTCTTTCTATCACCTCCACTTCCCCCCATCCCATCCCTGCGCCCAACCTGCACGCTAATGCTACCTGAGTCATCCGCATCCAGCAAGTTGAAGAGACCACGGGCCTCGCATCAGCTGACATCTGGCCCAAACATGCTGGGATTTATGAACAAAATCTTCCCAAAGATTGGAATAAAAGAAACCATCTTTTTTCTAGGAATTTACATGTAAAAATCACCACCTGGCCTCTTGGGCGTTGATGCCGATGGTGGCGAAGTAGCGAGCATTGGATGGGTCCTCCAACCTGGACAAACGCGTCAACGCGTGAGAACCAAAACATGGATGGCTTTAGAAAATGGGGAAACTATGGGAAACTATGGGAAAATATGGGAAAATATGAACTTGAAAAAACAACAAAAGGGGAATCTGGTGCCAAATTCGACGAGAATTTGACCATCCCACTTAGAGGAAGCGAATGTTGGGGGACGCCTTGTCGCAGGGGATCATCAATGAGGATCCCCAACTGCTGTCACGACAAATAATCCATACATGTAAATATAGATGCAGATATCAACATAATATATAAACATTAATAGAAACATAAATATACATTGATATAGATATAAATGAATATAAATAGAAAACTAACTCTAAATCTACATTCATATGTATACATGTGTACACATCTATAACCTACATATATATATATACACACATTCAGTTATGCTTGCAATAGAAAATCCCTCAGTTTGCAGTTGCAGTTGGTTTTCTGATGACAGTCCCATTCCTGCAGCGCATCTGGAGTCATCTGGGTGCTCCCACGTTCCTGCGAACTCCTGCCAGCTCAACACACCTCAGATGTGAAGATGGATACTAAACCTCAACTGGGGCGGCATATCATTTTTGGAGGGAACTCCTTTTTGCGACAAGCGAATAATTCTTTCCTGAAAAAAAACAATTTGGTTTGCGTACAGGGGAATGGTCAATTCTGGGAGAGAGAAGCCTCTAACATCTTGATCTGACTGATATCTGCCTCATATAGGTACTGGACAAAATCTCTTGCTAGAGCAGGGAGTTTCGTGCTTCACGTGCCACCTCATCTAGAAACTCGACGCGTTAGAAAGAAATGGCGAACTTGGCCCACTGCGAGCAAAGTGCGCTAGCAACCACATCAGACTTTCACAACACTTCCACTGTTCCACCTTGACCCCTTACCCTCCCTCCATGGCGGCAGGAAATGATGTCTATCGGGGAGCTTCCCCATGATTTCCAGATTTGCCATCCTGATCCCGGTTCGGTGACAGGGCGCCATTCTTGTTCGCATCGCCCATGTTGAAGATCTTCCGCACCGCATGGATCACCTTAGCATGGCAAAGCTGGAAAATTCCCAGAAAACATGGGAATTTAGCCATGGAAAAGCTATGGCTTTAGGACCCTAAATGGGGGATTGTCCATCAGCACATTAGATCAAACCACTAACATCAACTACCTCCCGCACCAAAGAAAGGGGCTCGCCTCTCGCTCGCGGTCCTGTGCTTTGACGGTCGGGAAACTTGGGAACGAAACAACTGGGGTGTTAAGCTTCAACTGAGACTGAGGTTCAACAGTGAATAGCTCCTTCAAACGATTTATGTTGGAGATATTTTTCAGGAACCCTGTTAAACCACCTAAGTTTGAGGTCAATGCTGCACACCCCTGTTATCCCCATTCTGCAGTTTAAACCCGATGATGAACAAAAATGGCAGGTGCAATTCCACACTCATCCCCTGGCACAATGTCTCCTTGGAAAAAATCGAAACAATGGCGTGCGCGCATTTCTATAACCCACTTGCCTTTTCTTGTAGCCCATCACATAACCATTCTCAACTTGTGTATCCCCAGTATGTACATGATAGGCACCACATTTCATTGGCCATTGTTTCGGTTGAAATACCCGACATTTATATTTAGACCTTTGGTCAAATCGCTCATGTGAGACTTTTCCATTTCTTGTTGGAATTCTTGTTGATCAAGTGGAGGCACCCTCAACCAACCACAACCCTGGAAATCCCGTCTTGAACAGAAAAACACATTTGAGCATCAGTTTTAATGTAAAATGCTTATCGATTGTTCATTGCCGGTTTATAGATACATAATAGTATTTCTCAATACACCCACCTATCTATCTATCTATCTATCTATTTCTCTATCTATATCTAAATCTATATCTATATCTATATCTGTATCTATCTATCTATCTATATCTATCTATCTATATCTATCTATATCTATCTATATCTATCTATATCTATCTATCTATCTATCTATCTATCTATCTATCTATATATATATATAATCTGATTTAATCTAGTCAAATCTAATCCAATCCAATCTAATCCAATCTAATCTAAGCTATTCCAATCTATCCATATTTTTATCGAAACATTATCAACACATATATCATAATCATATGGCTCCCCCATCTTTGGTCAATGTTTTTGGTCCTCTCGCGCAGAGCCCAGGGCAGACTCCACGAAAACACCGGTAACCACGTTCATCATCGCCAGGACCTCCAAATCCGAAAAACGGGCGGAAAATTGGATTTTGTGCAACAAAAAATTGTGATTCAACCCAGAAATTTCACAATATGAGTGGGGTTCCGTTTGTGAAAAAGAAAGTGGGATTCCTATTGTTAGTAAAGGGTTTCTCAAAGAATGCCAAATAAAGAGTTGCTTTCTGAGCAGTGGATAAATCGATTGCAACATATGGCAACCAATATTGACAGGTCCCAAGTGGATCCAAAAGCCATAGGGCCGAAAATCTGGCGGTGAATCCCTCGCGGTCCCTAGCGGTGGATCTGTTCATATCGGACTCAAAAACAGTCCTTGGAAAGTCCTTGGAAAGTCATAGTGGGGGTATTCTTGGAAAGCTAGACTTATATGGTAAAACCTCACATGACTTGGAAAGAAACTGATGACAAGTAATGACAAGCAGAACAATTCAGGATCTTCCACTCAAATGGTCCCAGTTCCCCCAGCTCGCACCGCGAAGGCGATATAGAGAGCAAAGACCTCGGCATCATACATGCAAACCATTGGCCCATCAATTTTCAGCTCGAACCGAGGCCAGTGACACCCAATTCACCAGGCATCCCACCCGGATCCTCATCCTCTGGGTACTCCGGCCACCGACATAATGGGTGATATGCTGGTTTCCAGTGGTTCACTTAAGTCGTTCCAATCCACCCCTCCAGTCATGGCCTGGAAGCGGGGAAGGGCAGCCATGGCTTCAAGCTGAAAATATTGATGATGTGGGTTCACCGTCATCGTCATCATAGAGAAGAAAAAACTGAAGTCCAGAAGCACTAGCAACCATGGTTGCACCAGGATTTTTCTGAAACCTCATGGCCGAAACAGCCGAACACTGACTGAAGCGCGGTGAACCGCGCGAATTTTCCACACGCCTGGTACAGTGACAGGACTGCGCGTGGCAAATTGCCAAACCAGTACATCAACTCCTGGAGCTACCGGCTTCCCACTGGCTTGTGTTTTGCGGCCGGCCTGTCATGTAAAAAAAAAACAACCCTCATTGAACCTTCATTGAACCATTCAAATTCTCTGAAATGCTAGGCTCTTTCTATGTCTAAAGCAATTTTTGAAAAAAAAAAAACGCAATCGACTACTACTGGTAGGTACCCAGTTGCAACAAGGATTAACCCCATGTATGTTTGGCTGGGCCCATCATTGATAGGTTTCATGATGTTTTAGCATCCACTTTCAGAGGGGAGGCGCATCATCTCGAATTCTGTTTAGCTCTGTGGTATAAGCCACTTTCCTTCGCAAGAATCCCATTGAGTGACCCACAAGTTTCACCTTTCCTTTCCTTCTTGTAATCCAACAGAGCAAGAGGAAAATCCCAAATGTCATATTCATCTGTAATTTATATATATATATATATATATATGCATATATACGTATTATATATATATATCCGCCGACCCCGGCTGCGCAAGGGGGAGCGCGAAAGGGAAAAGGATTTTCTGACACAGCATTGGTAGCAATTTTTTCTGTTCTATATCCGCCGACCCCAACTTCTAGTGCTACTACTACTACTACTACTACTACTACTACTACTCAGCAGGCCGCCGCAGGCAGCAGCAGGCAGCAGCAGGCATCAGTAGGCAGCAGCAGACACAAGCAGACGCAGCGGCAGTAAGCGCAACGGCAGCAGTGCAGCAGCTAGCAGCACGAAAAATTGTGTTTTTCTAGGATGGCGTGGGTGTCAAGAACGTGGGCAAGAGCACGCAAAAGGTGCACATAGCCAGTAGCTAGCAGCCAGCGCCAGTAGCAGCCAGCAGCTAGCGCCAGTAGCAGCCAGCAGCTAGTAGCCAGCAGCCTACCAAAAATCTAGATTTTTCTAGGATTTCAGACGACATGTTAGGCACTTTTTTGGCGTGGTTCTGGCACTCGCTCGTCCTTCAGAGCCCTGGTGTTTTCCCCCGGCAAGTGATTTTTTCGAACCTGTTTTACTGCTAGCAGCCGCCAGCAACAGAATCTATCGAAAAATTGTGTTTTTCCAAGCAGACGCAGCAGCAGCAAGCGCAACGGCAGCAGTGCAGCAGCTAGCAGCACGAAAAATTGTGTTTTTCTAGGATGGCACCAATGGGTGTCAAGAACGTGGGCAAGAGCACGCAAAAGGTGCACATAGCCAGTAGCTAGCAGCCAGCGCCAGTAGCAGCCAGCAGCCAGTAGCCAGCAGCCTACCAAAAATCTAGATTTTTCTAGGATTTCAGACGACACGTTAGGCACTTTTTTGGCGTGGTTCTGGCACTCGCTCGTCCTTCAGAGCCCTGGTGTTTTCCCCCCCGGCAGGTGATTTTTTCGAACCTGTTTTACTGCTAGCAGCCGCCAGCAACAGAATCTATCGAAAAATTGTGTTTTTCTAGGGTGTCAGACGACACGTTAGGCACTTCTATATATCTTGTATATATTTCTATAGGGTTTCAAACGTGACGTTTTGCAGTTTTCTCGTTTATATAGCACCAATGGGTGTCAAGAACATGGGCAAGAGCACGCAAAAGGTGCACATAGCCAGTATAGCTAGCAGCCAGCGCCAGTAGCAGCCAACAGCCAGTAGCCAGCAGCCTACCAAAAATCTAGCTTTTTCTAGGATTTCAGACGACACGTTAGGCACTTTTTTGGCGTGATTCTGGCACTCGCTCGTCCTTCAGAGCCCTGGTGTTTTCCCCCGGGAGGTGATTTTTTCGAAACTGTTTTACTGCTAGCAGCCTCCAGCAACAGAATCTATC